TTATCCTCAGTTCACAGATGGCAGAACTGAGGAATAGAAACGTGAAGAACTTGGCAGGTCACATACTACGAAATAGATTTGAACCCAGCAGATCTGCGATGCTGCATTTCCTCTCAACACTCAGACTATCTGGTAACTTTCCAAATAACCATGCCATGTGCAGAAGACAGGCCCTTACAGATTCACTTCCAAACATCCTCCATAATGCCATGGCAGGTGTGTTCTCCTACACTACCAAGAACAAAAAATAGAACAAGAACCTCTGCTTTAAGACAGCTGAGCTGAGAAGACTGGCCATGTTGCACAGGACCTGTGAAAACCAACACCTGTATCCCAGGATTGAAATTACAGCTCCCACCACCCACTCACTTGCTCATGCCAGAAGCTTGGCCATCTTCCCGAATCACGAACTTACATATCCCCATGTCAACAGTCACCAAGTCACAGACCTCTACCCTCTAACATCTCCCCAATACACGAGGTGTTCATGCCCCTTTGCTTCTCCAAGTAGAGCTGAACTCCAGATTTTGGCTTGTAAGACTCTTCAGAGTTGGGCTTCGGCTGCTCTGCCCCCCAGCTCCCATCTCGCTCCTCCAACATGTGCCCTGCAGCCCAGACATGCCTGATTCTGCCCCATTCTCGGGATATGAGGTTCAGAGAACCAGCTCTGGCCTGGAGTGCCTCCTTCTGTGCCTTTCTTCCCTGAGCTATTCCTACTCCCCTGAAAGAAGCCATCTGACACCCCATCCTAATGTAGAGATCTTCCCTTTCTGTTCCCACCCAATGCAGCTCAGAACACATCCTCAAGGCAGAGACTATACCCTGCTACCATGATTTACTGCTGAGTGCAGACCTTGTTTGGTGTGAACCTTCACGGTAAATAGATGACACCCAATGGGCATTCCGTATATACTGGTATAATCAACAACAACAACAAGAGTAAAATACGTGAGCGGATGAGACGCTGCTCCCCCATCATTTCCTCTTTTGGCGGCTCATGCTTTCAGCTGAAAAAGAGGCCTTGTTTGCTTTTTATCCTACACATCAGTGATGACTCCAGGAGTCATCGGGACTTATTTGAAGTCTGGGTGCAGAGAGGGGATGGAGACAACTGAAGCAAAGTCGCCAGCTCCCCCTCCTGGGGCTCATCCTTTCTGAGGCCTCGCAGCCCAAACCAGCAAGCAGGACTCTTCTTCCTCATGGGGACTCTTCGGGAGCACCATTCCAGTGGTGACAAGGCCACGGACGTGTTGTGTCTAGCTGAGGGCTCATAAACATGCATTTAGGATAAACTAGGATGGGAGGAGTGCTTCACAGAACATAGAGAAAAACAGCTACAAAGACTTAGTCAAGTACTCCTCTGAAACGTGTTTCCTTTCTCACGGAGTCTGTGGCAGCTCCTCTGGGCCTTCCAGTGGTCGGCACCCAGCTGAGAGCAGAAGCCCTGGGAGGCTCTGCCCTCAGTTGGTCTTCCTCCACTACCTTTCTGTGCACTCCCCTCGCCTCCCACTCTCAGTGCTTCATCCAAAGCTCAGAGCTCCTCCAAAGGAAGAGGTCAGGTCAGGTCAGATCAGGAGGAGAACTTTTCATGTTGGAGAAGGGGAGATGGGGCGGCTACACCACCAGTAAGTACTTATTCTTCTTTTCTGGCGTTCAGTGACAGGCCTGCACTTGGCCTTGGCGCACCTGCTGCCTCTGTGGGATCCTGGCGGGGCAGCCAGCGGGTAACCGAAGTGGCAACTCCTATTCGTCCTTCAGATCTCAACGCAAACTCGCTTTCTCAAGGGAAAGCTTAAATTTACAGCAGCGTAAATCTATTTGGTTCTCTCCTATCGCATTACTTCCTTCAGAGCGTTTATCACATTTGCAAATTACATTTTGTTTCTTAATATTTACACCTCCCCTCATGGACCGGATCCTTTCCCGAGGAAGGGGACCCTGTTTGTTTGTTTCCCAGTTTGACCATTTGCATCCTTAGTGCCCAGCTCTACCCTTGCACACTTTGGTTCTCATATTTTTTGAACTGGATGAATGAATTTTTCCACATTTATCTAGTTTGCTCGCCTTACATGTGAATTTACATTTTAACTGCCTAAATCTGTTTAGCAGGGCTGCCTAAAAAAGTGTCCTCTGAGATAGGCAAACTTCACAGGCTGTGTGTGTGTGTGTGTGTGTGTGTGTGTGTGTGTGTGTACACGCATGCCCACTGCAAAAATGAGGATAGGGTGCTAGGAATAACAGATACAACTAACTCACTTTAAAACTTATTAAAATGCCACAATGAAAGTGGGTATTGGTAATGCTCACATTGGGCACTAATTTTTGTCCTATGTTCCTGATTAACATAATTCAGGAAAAATACTTATAATTGCGTAACACTAAATTTTCTCATTCGTTACCTTATTATATTCTTATAATAAGTCCTGTGAATTAGTAAAGGTGGATGGGACCTGCCCTGCTGACTTGCCCAATGTCACATAGTTTGAGATCCACCAAGATTAGAGCACTTGATCTTCTGACGGCTAGCTAAGAGTGCTCAGCCTTGCACATAACAGAGCACATTTATTCAGTTAAATGGATATTTTGCTTGTGCTCAAATTTTAAATGATTTCTCCTTGTAGGCCTTTTGTACACCCTGTGTTGAAAACAGCATCTAACATATAAAGAGTAAGGTTGCTAGATACAAGATGAATATTAAAAAGTCACTGGTATCTTCCTATACTAGCAACAGCTAGAAAAGATTTATAAGACCTCTTTTGGGTTAAAAAATTATACAACTTTATTGGGAGACATTTAAAAATATCATATATAAATGAAGAGGGATATTTTATGCTTGTGGGGAAGAATACTTTACATCACAAAGATGTAATTCTTACCATAGTGAGCTACAAACCACATGCAGCTCTAATGAAGATACCACAAGGTCATCTTACAACCCAACAACCTGATTCTGAAGTTTATATGCAACGGAAAGCTTTAGCCCAGAATTGACAAGACACTCCTGAAGAAAAAAAACACAGCTGGGGATACCAAGATACCAAAACTCATTTTAAAGGTATAGTAATTTAGACAGTCTGGCATTAGAGCAGGGACAGACACACAGACTAATGGAAATTAAAGTGCTCAGAAACCCTCCTAGGCACTGGCTACTTTTCAAGGAAACGAAAGTAAAAAACAGTGCTGCTTTTCACCACACAGAAAAACCAATTTCTTATGGATTAAGAGTCGATCTGTGAAAGGCAACGTTCAAATACCTGGATCGACAGTATCCCTAACACCCCGGGATATGGAAAGAGCATAAGCCATAAAGGAAAGCATGATAATTGAACTATATAAGCTTCCATTAATAACTACACTCGATACCTCGGTATACCAACAACTATATTGACCTATACTGAGAATAAAGGACAAACCACAAACCTGGAGATATTCACAACACATAAAAATTAACAAAGGACTAGTATGCGGAATCTATGAAGATCAGTAAGAACAAGAAAGTCAGATGTCATTTCTTATCAATCAGTTCAGCTGCTGCAATGGTGGGAGCCATGACCTCCTGTGGCGGAAAAGCACTCGGCCTAACCCCAAGCTGGAAGATGTGCAGTCGCCTCTGGCCAGCCCTGCCTGTGGGCTATCAACCAGTCAGTGTACAGATCATTTTAAAAACAAAAAAATAATCTTGGTATACATGCTATGCAATAAAACTTACTTTTTAAATACATACATAATTCTGAACATTTCTCATTTCACTAGTAATTCTTTAGCATAACTTTTAATGGCTATGTTTTAGTCATCACACAGAAGCAGCATTAAGGCAGAAGCAATCCTTACTGTGGGCCATTTAGATTTTTATGCATAGTAACAAAGATGTGAGAAATACTCTTGTAAGAAATACTCTTGTAAGCCTTTCTACACATCTCTGATAACATGGGTTTAAATGGTAGGCATGCTTAATGTGGGCTTTGCTAAACTGTCCACCAGGAAGTATTACTAGTTTATAAAGCAGAAGAGTATCATTTTCTCTCTTACAACCTCCCCAACACAAGCTAAAAACATAAACTTTGCCAGGCTTATAAGTGAAAACTTACACACTGAATTTTTAATTTGTATTGATTTAAACCATAATGAGGCTGAACATTTTTTACTTATTGTTCACTTAGCTTCTCTCTGGGTTACTGGATTAATCTTTTGCCTGTTTCTCTACTTGAGTGCTTGAATTTTTTAAATCTTTTTTTTTAATTAATTAATTTATTTATTTATTTGAAAGAGAGGCAGTGAGAGATAGCATGAGCGAGGAGAAGATCAGAGGGAGAAGCAGACTCCCCGTGGAGCTGGGAGCCCCATGCGGGACTCGATCCCGGGACTCCGGGATCATGACCTGAGCTGAAAGCAGTCATCCAACCAACTGAGCCACCCAGGCATCCCTAGTGCTTGAATTTTTTGATGAGACAGAAGAGTTAGTGACAGAGTCGTGATATTGACTCCTTCTCTGCCAGGTATCTTGAACTTTGTCATTTTATCCTTTAAGTTTTAAAATTTTTATGTAGCCAAAGCAATCTTTTCCTTTATGGTTCATTCTCTGATATACAATTCTTTGTGTGTATTTAAGGGAATTAACTCATCTCCCTTTTGTGCCCCCCTACAGCAAAAATGCCTCATTTAAATGAAGGCAGTAGCACCCTCCTCAAAGGGTCACTGTGAACGTTAATAAAGAGAACTTACACTGATGTACTTCGTAGGTAGTAAAACAACACAGAAATGTCAATTATTAGCAGTTTTCAAAACATGGCAGTTAATAACATCACATGCCCATCGGTCAACAGAGTTTATAATTTTATGCAGGGAGCGAAAGCAGAGGAACTTGGGCTAATGAAGTCTGAAGACTCATATGGACCACAGGAGACAGACACCGTGATGGAGAAGTACGTTTCTTGTCCCTGGGCAGGGCGAGGTGCACGAACAGCCAGGACAGAGGCCCCGGGCGATACAGTCTCTCTTACCTTCCTTACTCTTCCCCTTCCTCCAACTCCGTTTCCTTGTGCACCACCACTCTCGTGACCGACATGTCCGGGTGCTGCTCTCGGGCTTCCCGGATGGCCTGGGCCAGCGCCTGCCGGGGTCAGAAGAGAGCGCCGTGAGCAGGGAGATGGGAGGACAGGCTGCTTCGTGGGACGGTGGAACACACGGACACCACTCAACCAGGACTCCATCTCTGGCAAACAAGGTTTTATTGCCTTGAGGAAGCAGGGATGTGAAATGGGCTCATATTCATTTTAGAGAAGCCTCTCATTTCCCCCAGTTCCCATTTTCCAGTCTTTTCAAAGAACGATGCATGTAAGGGAAACGTGCAGACTCTGAACCCCAGCCTTGTACTTGCTGAGACTTGGAGGAACCTCTAGGGCCCAGAACAATAAAAACAGCAGCAGCAATGGGGACACACAGTCAGCGAAGTGAAGCAAGAGAGACCGCTCTTTAGCAAGTGTAGGTCTCTGTTTTACAGTCAAAAACCACCGAGAGGGTGCAGAGGTCAACAGGTCATGCTCAAGGCCATCCTGCTGCTAGGCTGTGGGGCAGAAGCAGGACCGCCCCCGCCCCTCGCCTCATGGGCTCTTCCCAGACCAGACAGTCAGGAAGCAAAGCTTCTTTGTATTTTATCAGAAAGCAAACTATGTGTGAGTGCTGTGACAAAGTGGAAAAATCCTATTTTTTCTGAGGCAAAAGATATTTCAAGATATCTTGGGGAGAAAGCAAAACACCACAGAACATCACTCAAAATCTAGGAACGATGTCTAAAACAAAAAGAAAGTCTTCAAGGAAAGACAGCACCAGATCTCATATAGAAACTACACATTTGAGATCAGCAGTGTAATTTTTCCTGTTTCTCTGGAATCATCTGCCTAAGGGGACGACCACATTTCTTACTTGCGGTATGCTTCCTGCCAGCTGAAAGGTTATGGAACAAAACCTGGAGCCTGAGTCAGTCCACACACACACAAAGGTATAGCTATAGAAAAAGAAATTGGTTTTATACCCAAAATTTTTACACAGAAGCTTGGAAGACACTTGAGGGTGCTTAAATTTCCACTAGGGAATGAACTCTGGTGACCCACTGGTGTCAGGACAAGAGTGAGCTCAAACAGGGGACCCTCCCAGGAGAGCAGCACAACTGTCTATTGGGTGACAGGAGCAGGCAGGCTGTAGGGTGGCAGTAGGGTGGGGGGAAGGGAGGAGGTTGGGAGGTGTCAGCAAGTATCTGTGGTGGGGACGGGAGACAGAGTACAGCCGAGTCACTCTGGATTTGTGTGTTCAGAGGGACATGAGTGATTGGAACCATCAAAACGGACTACTCCACATCGGTTTCTGGAATCCAGTTGGGAAAGCGACAGCTCTGATAGGAGCCAAATGTAGCTACAGACAGCTTGTCAGATACTTTTTAACTCACGTTCATGACAAGGATCTGCCTACATTAAACCAGTACAAATGTCAAAGGGGAAATACAAATGATGCCCAAGGGAAGGGAACATATGTGAAACCGGCTTTAATTAGCAGAAAAGTAGGGAAAACCAAAAACAGTTTAATTGTCCTCAAACACATTTGAAATCCGTGTACCATTAATTCTCATCATTCTGTAATATCAGTACACGAAATTAAATACTGTGAAATGTTAATTTATGATGGCACCAGTAAAGACTGTGAGAAAATTATCACATGCTCCTGCCAAATTGAAAAGTTATTTTACTGGAAAGAGACAGACACTCTGGGGAGTTAGTGCAGTGTCCTACATCCCTGGTGCGGAGCAGAGCGTCAGGACACACACAGGGTGAACTCCTGCAAAGCCAGCGTCTCAAATAGCACGATTCCCTTTTTCCTATCTTGCTCAGAGGAAGGGTTTCTTTCCACAATTAAAATTCTTCTAATATACGGCAAGGAACTGAAAAGGGGGTCAATGATATTCAAGTCACTACGTGATCAGCTTCTGTTTTTGTCAGGGAAGTGATTTTCCTCTAATTTTAAATACTTCCACCGTCTCATTACAGGCTGTAAGGAGACAGGGAGTTCACGAGCTCCCGGTACAAGAATACCAGAAGCCACAAGTAAACGGACTCAAAAAAGTTGATGCATCTTATAATTAAACACAAAAAAGTTATGAAAAATCAAATACCTCTTCTGTCATGTGGGTATCTGCCCTCGGTCTGAAAATGTGCTAAAGCACCACATCACACAAACAAGGTCGTGTCCCTGCAGTCACAGGTAGAGCTGCGGGTTTTTCCTTAATCTAAGAGTCAGGAGTATGTGTTATTTTGGTACTTATATTTCAAACTGTGTTTTCTTTATTTGCTATTCAGAGGCAGTAAGGCCAAAAGACAAGAATGCACATAACACCCAAGAGTAATCCTTGAAAGGAAAACATGGCATCAGAAAGCCAGAGAGTGCACAGGTTCAGTGGAAAGACAAGGTAAAAGAAACAAAGGCTGGGAGAAGACCTTGATTTTCACTTTTCATCATGCCTAAGAATGTGGGCTCCCACCTCTCACACCATAAGAATTCAATAAATGCTGGCTGACCTAGAGTCCCAGAGGGAAAAAGAACAGAGTTTGCCCGACTTAGGTCAGAGGAGCTCAAAACTGTCCCAGCAGAGAAGAAATCCTCTATCTGGGGAACAGGAGACTTGGTTTCCACAGGGTCATTCATTTTCCCCATGGCAAACAGACACAAGTCCTAGTCAACTACTAGGAATCTCTACTATAAAGTCCAAATTCAGAGTCAGGGCAACACTTTAACCTCCGATAGCTCTCAAGAAATGAAAAGAATACATCAGGAAAGATGGAAGGAAAATCATGTTTACAGGGGTTTACAGAATGTAGTTTTCCTTACAGGCAGAGAAGAAAATCTATTTCTCTCTGGCAGAGAAGAAAATCTATTTCTCTCTGGTCACATAGACTTGAGTTTTTTTTTTTTTTTTTTTTTAATGAGTAGTTCTGTTCTCTAAAATTCTCTTTCCTGAGTTCAGTGTTGTGTTTAAAGCTGGGTAACTCTCATCTGTTCTGACTTCCCAGCTGAGATGGTCAATTGAACATTTCCTTTCCTTCAAGTTGTTACAAAAAAAAAAAAAAACAGCCTGGTTTCCTTTAAAGTAGAGTTCAAATCACTCAAAAAATGACAAAACAAAAAATTCACATCACTTGGGACTGCAGCCTAAAAGGAAAACTACCCTCGGGGCGCCTGGGTGGCTCAGGCGGTTGAGCATCTGCCTTGGGCTAAGGTCCTGACCCAAGGTCCTGGGAGCGAGCCCTGCATTTGAGCCCCTTGCTCGGTGGTGAGCCTGCTTCTCCCTCTCCCTCTTCCTCTCCCCCTCTGCTTGTGAGCACACACTCCCTCCCTCTCAAATAAATAAAAAAATCTTTAAAAAAAAATTAAATGAAATGAAAACTACCCTCAAAGTCACCTCCAGTCCCACTCATCACCCGGTTGTTAAAGTCACGTGTTCTACTCATTAACATTAGAATGGAAGCACAATTCTTTTAAATGTATTTCTGAATCCATGTAAATTCTCTACTTTGTAAGATACCTCAGATTTCCTTCTCCCATTCCTCAATAATAGTAATAATTAGGGGAAAACACCGAAGGGTAAAGAGCCCAATTTTTCTAATGTTACCAAAAAAAAAAAAAAAAAAAAAAAAAAAAAAAAAAAAAATATATATATATATATATATATATTCCTAAAAGTAGGCATAAGTCAAACTGGAAGTCAATGTCATTAAACCGCTATTCATTTTTTTTTTTTTTTTAAATCCACGACTTGCCTTTAAGTGAGTCCCACGTGAATAACTAATGGTCACCAGGAATCCTCTCAATTATTTGGATTCAAAAGTGCACCTGGAGTCAGTGGGAAATGAACAGCAATCTACATTTTATGCTGGTTTGGTGTTAGGAAGGCTGAAAGGCTGTCTAGGTCAGGAAGTGTCTTTACACCATGCTTAGGAGGTGGATTCTTCCAGGAGGCCCTGGGAGAAGGGATCTGACCCTGGGATATGACATGACGACACACGCTCCACTTAGAGACACGGTCACTTTCAGAAGCAGAAATTCAGGTCTTTACCTGGTCATGATCGATGTCTGCATCTCCCGTGATCACGATGCGTTTCTCAATTCTTGTTTCAGATATTCCACCTTTCACAGTCTAAAGGTTATAAAGAAAATGAAAGGACAGAGATAGCAATCATTGAAGTATGTATATACCTAATGAGAGCAAAGAAAAGGGAGCACATCTAGACCTTCTGATTAAGGCAATACGCAGAGTGGAGAAGATGGACATTCCAGAAACTGTTTAAGCTCAGCAGAGATTCCTATTGTTAAAGTTGTAGCATCCGTAAGTCTTCCTCAACTGAAAGCAACTAATTCATCGAGATTCAAGGGAAATTCAGATGAGACAGGTGCCACTTAATCCAAGTGGTTCCTTTGAGACATTCCATTACAATTTCCCAGAGTTTCTTTACTCCCAATTGGCTAATTTGTTAAGAGAGGAAAGAAGAAATAATTCTTTGGTTTATGTAGAGTTACAAGGAATTCTAACAATTTAGGTCCCTGGTTTAAGTGTGGGAATTGCTTGATGTCATAGTTTTGACTGCTTGATTCTCATAAAAATCCCCTGGTAATTTTGTTCATTTGGTTTAGTGCAGTAAGATAAAAGAAGACTTGGATTTGGTTTAAGATATAGAAGATACATGAGGGTGATATAAAGATTTTTGTTCAGTGATAGCTTCTGTATGTTACTCTGCTGCCAACAGAGACCGCATGAGCAGCCCTGGGACATGACAGAGGCCGAAGGGATCATATGGCTGTGACGCTGAACTACGAGCAAATACCACACAGTCCTGAGAAAGCACAGCTCTGATAAATTACACAAAGTCCCAGTTGATAGCACTTTACTGCAAGAAACCAGGTTTATTGCAAGCCTAACTGGATAGCCTTTAAAATGAGCACGATACTATTTTGCATTTATGTGACATTTTTTTTTTAACTCACAAAGTTTCTGGCTGAAATACAGGGTGAGGAGAGTATAAAGAATACATTTAAAACCATCAGGCGCCCATGGAATGGGAGAAGTAGAAGTAAATCTGAGGACGGCAGCAGGTGTCAGAATCACCTGGAGGGCTCCCACAACCACTCCCAGGGTATCAGGAGATCTGGGGTGGGGCCATGGACTCACTTCTAACAAGTCCCAGGGGAAGACTGATGCTGCTAGTCTGGAGACCATACTTTAAGAATCACTGGTCATCTGGTGTTAAAACTTTGGAGAATGAGAGAATGATCTCAAAAATGCCCCCTATCCAATATATGAGCATCTTAAATCAACGAAGGGAAAATTATATTATTTGAACAATTGCTTGAAAATTTTGAATGATGGTCTTCATTCACTTGCCTCTCAGTTGGGAGGGTTCATTTGTACTTACCAAACTTATGCTTCTACTTCTATGATACTCTCTCTCTCTCTCTCCTGTAGCTGGCTGACATACAGTTATTCATGACCTATTTTTATACCCTTGTACTTTATAAAAATACATTTGTCAATGGAGTCCAATTTCTTGGATACTTTAAGTCCGGCCACTTCTATTCCACTGGCACAGTCTATTACTTTGAAGCTTGTGTAGGAACAAAGAAATGATTCAGAAAGGATCCTGTTTGCAAGGTTCCACCCTGGATTGCTTTACCTTGGTGATATGTGTTGTTGTCGTTGTCGACACGGACTCAGATGTGATGGTTTGTGCTGTCAGTAATGTCCCCGAGTCACCACCGGCCCCGCCGTCAATCTTTGGATAGTTGGAGGAAAAATACAAAGTAATGCTTAATTTCCATTATGTTGTCAGATACAACCCCTCCCCATCGAATATGCATCTTGTGAAATCTTCGAGGTCAGCAGAAGAGGTTATCTGCCTATCCTTTGCACGTTTGTAGCGGTGATTTACTGAGCAGGAGGAGGTGATTTACTGGCGTTTAAACAGAGTAAAGGCAAAAGCTCAATGCACGTGGAGAAGCAAACCCCCTAGGAGGGAGGAAAAAAAAAAGGAAGAATCAAGTAGAAGACGGGACTGAGAGCTATAGGGTCATGAGACAATTTGACCGAAGGCCTTTTGTAGAAGCTAGAAAAAGAAACTAGAGAACCAGACAGGGAAGTTTCCACAGCGACCAGAAAGGCTGAGTTCATTGTTTTTTAAGCACAGGTGGTAAAAACAGATAAACGTTTTCTTATTTACGAAGCCATAGAACCTGACTAGGATAGACTAAACCTGTGTGCTTTGGTAATTTGCTTATCTCTAGTAGATTTTTTTTAAAAAAACATTGTTCCTGTAATAGTTTGTCATGAGCATATATGGGTACATAGATTTTAATACGCATGCATGCATGTGATCTGTCTCTACATGTATCATCTATAAACCCCATGCATATCTCTAAATAGGTTTTGACTTATTTGCTTTGACACTAAAAAAGGTAGAAAGTTCTAGAGTTGACCAGGGGAAATACGACACAGATTAATAGCCTAAGAGTATATGTGAAGATCACCAAACATACTTGTCTCCCATTTCCCGCCATTAACACAAGGAAATAACCAGAAAGCCCGGAGCCTTGTGGACTAAGTTATGGGGAAATTTCTCTAAATTTGAGTCATGCACCTGTATTTTACTGGGGCACTTACTGTAATATAGACACATAAGCACATGCTCTCCCACCACACCCATTCATCAGAAAGCTGTTTAGGTGGATCTCGGCACATACATAGATATGTGTCTAAAATAATTTTGAGAAGTATTTAAACATACCCACATTAAACCTCTTAAAAAAGATTTTGAGAGAGGTTTGAGAGAGGTCAATAATCTGCCACCCTCCACCACGGTACAATTCTACTATAGAATACTAAATTTCTCAGTTTAGAAAATAGTTGTATAAATTTCTAAACAGTTTCATTTTGAAATAATGAACACTTTCCCCTTTTTATACCCTTAAGGTTAGATATCTTAATACTTATTTCAAATCTTTACAGAATCAATGTTAAATAATGTCTAAATCAATGTCTAAAATTAAACACACAAATCTGATAATTATTTTGACACACAGTATCATATTTACAGAAGATCGACAACATGTCTCCAGAAAATAATCCAACGTGAAGAAGAAGCACAGATGTGTGTGTGTGTGTGTGTGTGTGTGCATGTGTGTGTACACTTGGCAAGTAGGAGTGAGTTGACTGGATCTATCTGCACGGAGTTGGGGGTGGGGGAGAGACTAAATCTTACTAATCTGCAAATTACATCAGATCCAATAAACTTCGTAAGATGATCTGATTCCCAAGTGTGTATCAATATACACGGAACGACTTATAACATGGACGAGATTGCTACTGCCTGTCCTAAATGATCCTGTGTAGGGAATCCTGTATAAATAACCCTGTAGAATTGGTGGGCCACCAACTTGACTGCAGCTCTCTGTTGTAATCTAAGAAGCAATATAACAGGATCAAGTGCAATGAGGACACCAAGATACGGAAAGCTACATCAAGGTCAGAAACACGTAAACTCGAAGACAAATAAAAACAGACACAAAGTAAAAAAAGAACTCAAGTAGTCCAAATCTAGAGTTTTTGTACCTGTGGAGACTCATATGTGATGGTTTTGGTCTCAGTTTGGACAATAGGGACTTCCTTGGTGGAGATTTCTGTCCTTTGTGAGGCATCAGAAATTGTTACCATCTCTGTTTTTACCACTGGTGGCTGAGGTGGAAAGGAAGGGAAAAATAAATTCTAGAGATCATGAAGTAAAAGTGTTTAATGGAGCCTTCAAAAATAATTGTAAAAAATATATCCAAACACACACTCATGCAAAAGAGTAAAGATAAATAAAAGACACAAAAGAAAAACATTCTCCTTCAAATATCATGTGTGTGTGTGCGTGTGTGTGTCTATGAAGACACAGCTAACATAATGGTCCCCTAAATTATGGTATACTTCAAATTACCATGTTCCCAATTATATGTCAAATGTGGGGCGCACAGTGACATAAAAGCTTTAGCTTTGGGGCTAGTTATAACAAAATGGAAAAGAAAACAAAATGGAATGAACTATGTGAAGTGACCGGTCTCAATTTTTGCCGCAGTTTGGTTTGCCACGTGGTTTGTGTGAAGGCTCATTGTCTTCAATTGGTACATCAGCTAGGAAGACCAAGCTTTCCCCCAAAAAGATTCTTCTACCCTACCGACAAAGAGATTGTACTTTAAGAATATCTTCAAGTATGATTTTTTTCAGTTACACTTGTCTAAAATTTGCAGGGCTTCTTCTTTGTTCCATAAGTTAAAATATTACATCCAGAGTTATTCCACCAACACTGCATGAAGGCTTTGAACAATGCAAACATTAGAGAGCAGGGTCACGGCCTGTTGGCATTGTAGTCTGCTGAGTGTGTAGGTTTAATACAACACCAGACCATACTACTACCAAAATACTACAGAACTTTAAGAGAAAATTCCCAAATGTAATTATTTAAAGAGGAAAAACCGTATGTTAAAAGCAGAAAATAATAGTTCAGAGCATTCAAAGACTCTTGAAATATCTTCTCTGAAGTGAAACAGGAAGTTTAAAATATAGTAAAAATTCATTTAATTATCTCAAGCGAAAGTCACTTTAAGATTTTCCAGCCCATCAAAGAGAGCAACTATTAGGATAATGCTTATATTGTGGGCATTTACTTTTAGAATCAGGAAAGTCTCACTGAGGTAAACCCTCTCACAGCATAACTCTGACTCCCAGTTCAGAGATACCTGCACCTCATGGCTGAGACTTAATTTACCAGGAGTGTGGAGAGTTCTCTTTCTTAGAGAGAAAAAGTTAAAAGACTCCCATCCAATATAGATAATCCAGGAAACAGATGATCAACTTGCAAATCATCTAGAACTGTTGGAGGACAGAATGAGAAAAGTATCCTCCTATCAAACAGGCTAGCCTCTGGCTGCTCACAAGCAAAGAAAATGCCCTTAACCAATCCATATGCTCTCTGTAATCTAAAAACAGCAATCACAGTGGTATTCGAGAAATAGGTTCTCATCACGGCCGGATGCTGGACTCCAAGCACCACGGTAACTAGAACCAGCTGCCATTTCTGAACATCTAAAGCTGGAGGGAAAATCGGCCAAAAAGTCAAACCCAATCATGAAAAGAGAGAGCCACACACACACACTCACACTGACCATTTGCCAACAATACAGATACAATTTTCTCATTAAACCAACGAAAAAGGCATTTAGCACAAGGAAGCAGTGCAACTAAAGACAACAGTTGAAAACATCCAAAACATGCAAAGAAAAATTGAAGTGTGAAACGAGAAGGGAAAAAATGGTGTGGCTGCTGAAGGCCAGTTTACTCTGTCAGGCGGATCCAGGTGCAGGAAAGAAGCCAGAAACCGTGAACGGGGCTGGCAGAAAATCTACAGAGCAGTGCTTTTTCCCCTTCCTCCCAGGAGAGAGAAAGACCAGAATCTCGTAGAAAAAGCTGGAGGAGGATCGGGAGGACAGGAGAAGGAAGGCAGGTGTTCTCCACCTGAGAAACAGCTCTAGAGTTTAGCTCCCGCTCGAGTCTCCCATTTACCTCTGAACAACAAATAATTTGTGGCAAAACATCAATGTCAACATGAGACACCTCTCCGTTAACTTTATGTTGCTCGTCCTCTGTTTCTTCGCGCATGTCTTGCTTAAGGGCGCCTTCATTTACACTCTTCTCTGCAGATATCTTTGGGGCAACTACATTTTCCTGGGTCACTGTTTCTACTGTGCTTACACTGGCACCTGCTTGTCTGACTGGGCTGGCTTCTGGTACCGCTTCCTCCCTCTCTACTACCTTGGCTGCTCGGCTGGCTTCATCCTCCACCTCTTCTTCCTCCTCCTCCTCCTCTTGTTCTTCCCTTATGGTGCCCTCGGTCACACGGTGGTGGGGCCGGTACTCGCCCACGTCTTCGTCCTCGCTCTCACTGCTGCTGCTGCTCTCAGAAGACAGGGAGGTGGAGTCTTTCTGGGTCAGGGGCTCCACCTTACGCATCTCCCCAGGACCACTCCCAGGTGATAGCTCTTTACCGTTCATTTCTTCCGTGATTACTCTTTCGTCTTTCCCAACCTCTGCCTGCTTCTTCTCCTCCACTACATTCAGAGTCTCATGTGAACTCTGCACAAAAAAAAAAATGGATGAGGGAAAACAAAAATAGATGAATAAATTAAAAAAAAAAAAAACAAGAACAAAAATAAAAAACAACGGAAACCAAAGTTAACCAATGAAGGTGGTTCATGTCATGGAGAAAAACAAAGATGATTGTGATGGCTGACTGAAAGGGAAGCGGGGAGAATGTGAGGGGATCAGAAACATCAGGTGATGGTGTGAACATGGAAAAGGGGAGAACCTCAACAGCATCACAGGCTCCACTGCAAGGCCCTTCTGACTCGGGAGCGCGTTTCTGCGGAACAAAAAGCAACCGAGGACACAAATCAATAAAGTTTTACACCTCAACACCCACCAGAACAAACATCTGACACTGCAAAGACAGAACAACAAGAATCGACATCTACAAAAATCTTTGCTCAAGGTCACATGAGGACAATCCAGACAAAAATGCAGAGAGCTTACGAAAGGAAACAAAAACACAGAATAGCCAATGTCCTCCCAAAGACACAGAATGCTTTTATTGTGATTATACCTAGCCGCTCTCCTTACTTAGTTGAAAGGGTAGGAAAAAATTGAATTATACCAAAGCTTACTGATTAAAGTTGAAATTGCAAAATTTAAAAACCTATTCAATAAACGGTTTTGATTTTAATCAGACTATAAAATCTGGCCTGAAGCCCTGATTTCTAAATGAATATAGCATTAATGAGACAGCACCTTAATTTTCTGCCAGCTCATTTAAAAAACAGCTGTAAATGGCAAAATTATACTTGGTCTCCTATAGCTAACACAAAAATGTTGTTTCAGAAATGGTTATTAACATCCCAGGCTACATTATAGATTGGCAAAAGGGATATTTTAACATTAGGGTGGATGTCAATAATGGCTCCAAGTGCCTTCTTCTACAATTTAGCTCCTCCAACTAGCATCTTTGGAAACTGAAATCAAGTTTATTAATCCAAGATGTTTATTTCTGCCTCCCTCCTCCCCGTAGACATCTACTTCTTGGGTGTAAATTTACTCTAAGTAGTACCATACCTAAATGTTTAATAAATTCCTGTTGATCAAACACATTAGTAATATAAGTTATTATGCTTTGCTATTGATAACCAGTGTAGAAACCTTCTTGCAAAGGAGTTTTTAAAGTTTATCATTTTCTTTAAACTTATTTTGAAAGCAGAGGAGGGACTATACACTATAGACTATAAGCCTGACCAACTTTTTAACATTCGGGTGACATTAGAGCCTGTGATTTCCCCAGAAAATAACTCCTAGTGCAAGTAGCCCTACTTCTTCAGGAAGGTATCTCCATGCCGAATGGAGTGGGGCAATGCTCTTCTGAACCCTGTGGGCAGAAACGAAGCCTGCGACAGAGCTGCTGAGACTGCACAGACTGGAGCTGGGTCCTGGATCAGACTGCAGCGTCCCATTTATTGGCATGAGTGCCGTGGGCAACCGTGAGCAAAAGGCCCTCAAAGATCATAATTCTGACAGCGCCCGTCAACATGTACTCACTCTCTCTGATCTGTGCTGTCGTTCTTAGGTGCATGGTAAGGCCATGTTCTCACGGCTCAAATTAGTGCCATGTAACGAGAGAGATCCTTCCAGTTTTTACTGAAAACCCAGAGGTTTCCGATATTACACTGAAAAACTCTTGAGACTATTTTGGTGAGTAACTTTTAACTATAAACTTCTTTATAAATAAAGATATCCAGTGGTCAGAACATTTCTAAATCAGATATCCCATCATTATTATTCCAGGTCAGTAAATTATTATTACGTTACCCCAAATGGCCAGACAGGCTCTGCCCAAGTTCAGGGAATCCCTAAGGGTCATTCCAAGGAATGAAAATAATATTTCATTGGGCATGGCAGGCACTTCTTATTTTTACACGAGCAGAATTTTAAAAATAAGCAGCCATCAAGAGATGCCCGAAAGAAGTTTAGGTTTTAAAAACTTTTCTGCCAAACACAGTTTGTTTCCCTTAGAGAGAGGCCTTCCTTTCCCACAACAACTCAAGACTCTGGGCCTTACTGCTTTAGATGATTCTCTGAATTTAGGCAGATTTTGTGGGTGGGAAGGGGACCAAAAGCAGCAGGAGAAACATCCAATCTCTAGTTGTCCCTCATGTCCAAATTCAGTCATTGTTTCTTGAATGTTTCTCCCAGAAGAGTTAATTTTAACCAATGAAAGCACTGGAAAGAGGGGTTCCTAAATATTTAATAAAAAAAAAATCATATGTGGCTTTTGAAAACGGGAAACAAAGTAAAATGCACCTCAGGCAACTGTGAGAAGGGCGAGGAAGAAAGCTTTTCGGGTGCATTACAGTTCACAACAGTGCCCTCTGCTGTCCAAGTGGTGGCTGAGGTGAAGGTGGCTCTCAAGCTATCAGAAAAGCCCTTTCCACTAAACAAAATGGACGTTATCTCCTCTTCTAGGCTCTAAAGAAGTCAGAAAAGGAAGAGCAAAGAATTAACAATGAGTCAGAACAGACAGCAGTGACCTATTGAAAGAAAGGAAAGGTTACACAAGAAAGAATCACAGAACAGTGCAAACTGAGAGAAAGGCAAGGAGTTTGAAAGATTCTATCAGGCATCTGTGGTGTTTCACCTAAACCCCAGTTTTCCACTCTGCCTGAGAATCTGATAGCTCGCTCTAACCTCCTCTGGGAGCCAGCTAAAGAAAATGCCTTAGTTTATCACCGAAGCTTTATTTACAAACTGAGCACAACCGATCCTCCCACACATCGAACACTATTTCATATATTCCTGAAGGAGCTACTCGGCGTCAGCCTCTTTATGCACAGATTGGTCTCGTCAGGGGCCCCTACTCATGCCAATTCCTGTGTCAGAGCTCAAGGGACCCCCACCCTCCTGCCTCCAATGCCCTTCCCGAGGCGCCCTGGGCCTTGCCAATGCTGTCACCTTTCTGAGGTCCACTTAATAGTTCATATTTTGTATACGGGCCTCCCTATCTACTCCAGCTCCTCTAGCCTCCTCCCTTCTCCACACCACTTGAACGGTCTGTGCAACGAGCGCTCTGACAGCAATCCACAGACATTCCCTCAGACCTGCTAAATGTGCCATGTAATGAAGAAACAGCGCTTTTCTTTGTTCAATAAGAAACAGTTAAAGAAAAAATTCTCAGTAGGAAGACAAACTCAGAGGTGAAAAACTCAAGTGAGCAATGTGAAAATCATTTGTCCCTGAAAAACTGTGATGGCAAAGTTCATGTTGCCATTTCTGGCCCTTGAAATGACAGTCTCTAACCTGCCTGAGGGCATGACAGGAAAGCCAGGGACTGTGTCCCAGGTACCTGTAATGCCAACAGGAAAGCGTTGCCATAAAGCAAATGTCAAAATTGTGTAAGATTACTTCCTAAAAAACCCTAGTGTTCGCAGAGCTCAAGGATGAATGAATAAATGAATGGCATTTTCTGAGATGCCCATTGAAATGGGCACTGAGGGGGGTGAGGAGTAGGGATGATGAGATGGGTGAGGTGCAGAAGCACTTGCAATATTCAGAAGAGAAAAAAGAAATCTGGGTTAATTCAGCTTAATTATGATCTCCATAATTATACCATCCCTTTGGGTTGGGTGGATGGAAACAGTGTCCTTCCCCGTAAGAGAGCACTGGGGAGTTCAAGTGCCACATATTTAATTATTCAATAAAACATCTTCAAAAGTACCTTACAACCACAGTCCTATAATCTCTACTAGACTCATGAGAATACAAGTGTCTTAATTCTTACAGAAGAGGCTATACAATATTTATTAAATATAAATGTATTACATTAAATGATTTGGTTTCCAAATTTCTCTCAAAATCATATTCACACTGAAGCCATTCTCAAAGTTCGGTGTATTTAAAACAAAAGCTACTACTGTCCTGGGAGCCTGGTTCACTCAGTTGGAGAACCATGGGACTCTGGATTTCGGGGTTGTGAGTTTGAGCCCCTCATTTGGTGCAGAGATTACTTTAAAAAAAAAAAAAAAGGAAGGAAGAAAGAAAAGGAATAAGGGGAAGAAAGAAAAGAAAAGAAAGAATGTTTTAATTTTAATCTATAAAACCCATATTATAGAAATTTGGAAACTTTTGTCAAATGAAACTCTCATGCATTTACATTAATTAAGGATTACAATTTAAAGATAATCAAGAAACCCTACAAAATCAGTAGCAAAATGAAGATGAGGCAAAGATAAATTTTAAAGATATTCTGTTAAAACCCAAACACTCCAGTAGACTTAACTGCTCACACACTTTCAACTAATAGTAGTGAAATGTTATTGGTGGGGAGGCAGGGGTTACGACATAAGTGTCCCATAAATGTTGGGTGAATGGGTGAAAGGACTTGTGACTGCAGTTACAGCAATCCGCGTATATGCCAAGTTAAGAATATATTTTCCTGCAGATACTGGAGAAGAAAAAAAACGAGAAAAAAGCAGCCATTTCAAGAAGTATAGATAGACCATTTAGGAGCATAACAGGAGGTCAATCTCAGATTTAAATTTCACATAACAGGATCTTAATGTAACTTCTATGACAATGAGTAAATGAATGATTTCTATTGTATATGGTTTCTATTGGATGATCCCAAACCATGACAGCCTGGAAAATGAGAATTTTCAACATCTTCCCCAAAATTCCAAGGTCTCTTATTTCAAAAAAGTACAAAGACATTGACCAAATGTTGCCATATGACATACTTCTGGAGGATAAATTTTCAAAACTATGTAATATTTCAAAACTTATGATATTAAAGTCATTTTATACACAGTCTGACAGGCTTTGGATTTCAGGCTAACCTTTAAAGTATATAAATATGCCACTTGGTTTAGCTTTATGACATTATCTTTCTCGTTTGCAGTGCTCTGGAAATACCCCATCTCAGCTACACCTCCAATTCCTTCAGGGCAAGGCTTCGTCTTCCAGTTATCCTGCCTCCTTCCCCACCCCACTGTATATTCTGATGAATGCGACTGTCTACTGATTAACACCACCAGACTTCCTGGCAGGGATATACCTTTTCCTTATCACTGATTTCTGCTCTCAATCACATCCCTCTAGGACCCCTTCCTCGTCCAGCACCAGAGGGATCGCTGTCCGACAGGTGGGACTAGGTCATTACCCAGCTTAAAACTCTCCAATGGCTTCCCTTCACTGCCACGATAGAATTCCAAGCTGTTAGTCTGGTTTGGAAAATCCAGAGTGGACCTCTGACCTCTCTGACTTTTCTAACGCCCTTGTCACTTGGACTTTCAGTTCCTTGAACTAGTTCTTGTCTTGGGGCTGTTGCATTTCCTTTTCTTTATACATGGAAGAATCTTCACATGTCTCTCTCTTTCTCTTCATATTAAGGTCTCAACATCAATGCCACCTGTTTCCTGAGCACAACGGGAAAGCCACCTTCCCCATCCCCCTCTAACAGGACACTGTATTTCATCTTCCTGATGCTTATTTCTTAGTACCCCACATTTTCTATTTACTAATGACCAAGTCTGCTTCTCCCCCACTGCGCTCTAAGCACTCTCCTCCGAGCGAATGACAGGCCAGTCAGTTGGCTAAGCAAAATCAGCAGAAGCAGAAGAATAGGGATGGAAGAGCAATGGAAAGCTAACTTCCCTGGTAATATCAGAGATATTTCATATATGCAGGGAGCACAGAGATCTGAGGGGCTGCTGTGACACACACCAAAATCCTTTCTCCTGCTAAAAATCTTTAAAACGAGAATCTGTAAGGTTTCCAAATGTAATTAGAAAAATAGTTACCCACATCACACAGCATTTGGGAGTTTTCATACCATCACAGTCTGCACATGAGCATTGTACTAATGGTGCATTTTCACATGAGATCATGGTTTCCCGACTGTCAGCCACATACGTCAAAACTCGGGGTCACTTATCACCTACATTGGTTGATAGGTCTGCATTTCAAATTGTGGATTTTCAAACCCAGTCCTCCTGCAATATGGTGTTTCTCACTAATGATCCTACATTTCTACAGAAGAAATTTAATTTTTAAATGCTCGAAAAATTACTTCAACAAAATTTTGGGTGACTACAGAAGAAAAAAAGGAGTATCTTATGGCTGTGGACAGAAATAAAAGGAAAAGGGAGAAAAGCAGAGGAGATCCAAGGATGCAAGGTGAACACCTTGTCTGCCTCCTGGACTTTTTCTTCAACTGCCCGTGTGGCTGCCATCTGATGCTTCTCCTTCACGGATAAAATATCCTTGAAAAGATGGTCTCCTTTTCTCTATTGTTTCAAACAATAGACATAATCAACAAATAAGACAAGTACATTACATCTATAGCAACACAAACATAAAACAACTATGTGGGTCAGCAAAACGAACCGGATAAAGCAGGACATAAAGGGAGGACAAGATCTTAACACGTTATGAGACATGCTTTCTCTAGAAAACACAGCCCTCTAGAGCTGACTGCTGTCCCGGGTGCATTAATATCTTCAGAAAATCTGAAAATAAGAACGTAAGCTGTATACAACTTCATAAGACCCTGGTGTTTTTGATCTTAATGTTGCCATCCATTGTTTTCTCAGTTGAGAGATTATTTTTGCTTCTGTTCTTGAAGAGCTATTTCCCTTTCACTGTCACAAACTTACAAATTTAAAGCAACCAACAACTTTGCCTTTTTCAGAAAAAGTGCATAATAGCATGAGACTAACTCAAGTGCGCATACATTTGGTAACATTCAAGCCAGGCGAGAGAGATGATGTGCTTTGGGGGATGAGAGGGCTGGAAGGAAAAGGGGAAAGAGGAGATGGTTGGGTGACACCTTCATACGCTTTTTAAAACAGCATATTTAATAGGATATGATCGTTGTCTCCTCAAGTATGATAAACGAGCCCGTGAAAGTTCTTGCTTGATAACAGATTTCAGAGCATCAGAAAAGAAGACATGCAGATGAGAATAAATGGAGAAATAGATTGAGAATATCTCCAAAAGGAAACACTTACATTGGTGGTGGGAAGAAATAAGCCATGGAAAGAAGAAGAATGAGTTTGGAGAGATGTTATGGTTGCAAATTGTTTTAAAACAGTAGTAGCCTACATTTCATTACTACAAGGTTTCAGTATTAAACTGCGTAACATTCTGCAAATTTTCAGCTGGGCTCATTAGTTTTCCAAGCTAAGTTTAATTCTTTATCCTCACAGCGATTACCTTAAACCATTCTAAATATGATCTGTACTCCTATATCCCTTGAATAATTATTTAATTATCAAGTGAATTCTATTATCTCAGTAGTCCATAACTTCAAGCCTTATAAAATACAACACGACACCAGTTTCTAAGCCACCGTATAGAGCATTTCATCGCTACTCATTTACTTGAGTGAAATAGTGAAATTTTTCTGCAATTTTTGATAATATTTGGAAACCCACACAATTTACTAAGAACTATGTCAATAAGTATTACATTGTTAATATTTAGTATTTAAAAAATTGTTAGCAATTACATTAAAAAGTAGGGAACATTGTCTAACACTCTGAGAATGAACATCACATATTTGCGACCTGAGTTTTATCAAAGAGCTGGAGTGAGACATACAGCCAACAAACAGCTATTGACATACCCCTTGTGTCTGTAGGGACAGAGGTGTGATACGTCGTTTTTCCCATTCATTAGGGCGCGGCTCAGGTGTGGATTCCATAAAATTGCGCTTGAGTTCACTAATGCTAGCCTGATGTCTCAGTATGTCCTCCTGGGCCTTATCGAGGTCCTAGCAATATGTAACGTAATAAAGGGCAGAAATCCAAAAAAGGAAAAAAAATCCCAGCAGGACAAAAATATAAAACCAAAAAATAAGACAAAGCAAACTTAAGATTAAAAAAAAAAAAAAAAAAAAAAAAAAAAAAAAAAAAAAACATAGTAAAGCAAGAAAAATGCCAAGTCTCAAAAGCCATATTATCACCTAAGTAGTTCATCAAAATTTGAAAATAGAGCCAATGCATATTTTTTTAATGATTCCCATTTTAAAAGGTTCTGGTTTCTTCTATTTAGAATTTTTTTAAAGAGATAATTACTTATATTATTAGAAGGAAGCCGTGGAATCACTAGTACTAGAAATGGCTAATCACCTTCTTTCTAGTAACTGCATTTGAAATGCAGCCTATGACTTTGTTCCTGCAAATTTACCTTTCTCATTAAGGCTATTACTACAGCTGCATTCTGTGAACATAGTAAATGAAGTATAACTAGAGAAAGGTACTCAGAAGCACATTTGGCCTGATGGAAAAGCCAGGCCAAGATCATGAGAGAGAAAGAGAAAGAGAGAGAGAGGGAGAAAACCAAGGGTTGACTTTTTCCAGGAATTTTCAGCAATGGCTTTTAATCCTTAAGGAATAAAAATACTGGCTTCCAGAGGCTCCTTCTGTTTGGCCTCTCTATGAAAGAGGGAACCTTGTATACTGGTTTCATGTACTTGCCAAGCCCAGCTGTGAGGCCCAGTCACCCCACATACCAAATGGTCCTTACACAAGACAAAGATACAAGTAACACTACCAGGTCAATTTTCACTGGAATAGGTCCTGACAAATGGTATTGGTGGGAATTTTTAGAATGGCCCTGATAAATAGTATTTGTGGGTCTAAAAGGTAATTAATGTTCAGGAAACAGTTTTAAATGAATTTTAAATCTTTTCTTACATTTCAAAATCATGGGGCCACCTGTGGATTATAGCTTTCATCCCACTCCCAGAGGAACAGGTCATGCATCTGATAAAATTAGATCTTCCACATTCATGCACAAGCATAGTAGCTCCTCTAGGAGCTTCTAGAGCCATTTGCAAAAATTCATGATAATCTAAAACTCTTTGCATGGCATGGAAAAATGACTGTGGCTTGAGATCAGGCACATTTCTTGCATCTGTTCAAAGCAAGGTTACATATTACACTGTAGAGCATTTTAGTAAGTTACGCAAAACACATTTCCAATGGTTACCAAAGCTGCCAAAAGCAACCAGATTAGTCAGATTACTGAGAATTGGGGTTCTCCACTGAATATCTCACCATTTTACTACCATCAAAGAAGAAGGGGAAAAACAAAAACCAAAAAAAAACGTTCTTGTTGTAACACAGGGAATATATTTTTACCCACCTGATTGGTTGGTTGGGTTTGGTTTTCCTTTCTCACTTTCTTTTTAATCCAAACAACCCACGAATCAACATTTTTCTCAAAGGTAATTACTTTAAGTGGACCACATTCCTAATTGCATGGATTTCACCAACTTTTCCCCCAAAATTGTGAACATGGATCTAGAGCCATTTAATGCCAAACCAACAAATACCTGTTCTGGTGAATATATATTAAGGATGGGATGTTACTCTAGATTCTGCACCACGGAGATGACCCATTAGGAGAGAACAGATCTACCTGCAGGACTTCAAGAGTATTAGATTAAAATTTTACTCATTTGATTGAACAGAACGTTTTTTGTTGTTTTTTTCCCCCAGTTGTCATTTAGAAAACTTCTAGTAGATATAGTCCTACCTAAGCCACTTTAAAAGAACAAAGTGGGACAGCTAACATGCACTCCAAGTTGAACTGTCCCCCATGCAGTTCATGCAGTGTGCTTGAAGGAAGGTGCCAGCCAGCCTGTGCGTGACCTCCCGTCCACAGCAGCCTGGCAGCCATCAGGACAGAGTTGTTTTCTTAAATTATACAAACCTCCAACATTAAATTGCTATGTCTGACATAAATATTATCCCCTTCTACTCTCAGGGAATTTTTCTGTGAAATTAAATCACACACAGGGGGGAAAAGGCAAATAAACATAAGTGTATCAATCAGCAAGCACCAGAAACAACCCCAAGTCAGATAGTCCAAGACATTAAAATATAAGAGGAATAAAACTCTTAAGAACCTAAAAGCCACCACAAGCAAAACTCACATATCAATCCCAAGAGTGCACCCCACCCCCACCGGACGCACACGTGCGCAAACACAAGGATGGCAGGCAGCAGCCACCAGGTATGTAATTTGGGGGGGGGGGGTAAATCTCCACCTCCTCCAGCTGTGTCTCCTCTTCTTTCCTCTTCACCTGAAAGTCGTACAGCAAATGGCCAGAAAGAAGGGAAGTAGCGGTGGAAACTCTACCCAGGGATGCAGAGATGTTGTATTTGAACTGAAATGGTTAACTAGGATTACCAACCTTTACTGTTTGGCCCTCAGAAGATGCAGAACATAAAGCCACTTTGGTCTTTCTTCACCTACGGTGTCGGACAAATGGTGGAAGGAATCCTTTGCAAAGGTGAAATGGAGAATGAAAGCTTCACTCTTTCTCAGTCCCTAGATTATGTGGTGTTTTTTAATGTTTTTATTCATAAATGAAAATAGGAGAGTGTAAAAATGGCATAATTCCATCTGTCCTAATGTGAAAAGTCTAAATCAACTAGGGATGAGGGCAAAGTAGAATGATGGAAAGTGAAAACCAAATTTTACCTCAGGGACAAATATTCACCCTCTAAATTCAGTTTTTTAACATAGATTTCTTTCTTTGGGAGGAAAATTGGTTTATTTTGCTACTTGCATGCTAAAATCGTATTTTAAGTACTCATTTTATAGCCACTTTTTCTTCATAAAATTCTTTAAATAAGAATAATTTTTCATAGTTGGATAATTCTTAGTATCTAATGACCCAAAAGAAAAAAAAAAACCTGCAAATTTAAAACTAACTCATGGACATGAAAAGCACAGCATAGGGAATATAGTCAATAATATTCTAATAACATCATATGGTGACAGACTATAGAATTGCCAAATCATTATGTTATACCTGAAACTAATCTAACACTGTATGGCAATTATACTTCAATATATTTATTTTTAAAAAAGCATAAATCCTAATAACTACTGACTCAAGGAGAAGAATAACAAAAAAGAAAAATAATGATTGAGACCAAAAGACAATAGGGTAAACTTCACGTGTTAATTTATAGCAGGATCATGCACATTCCTTTTCTTCTTTACTGGAATGAGAGTGTTAAATGTGAGAGTTCAAAACGCTTTTTTTTTTTTTTTCCTTTAAATCAAGTATTTCTGAGGTGATCAGGAGCTCAGAGTATCTTCTTATCAGAAGGAAAAGTAAGAGTTATCCAACAACCTATTACGATCATGTTCCAATTCCTTGGTCAATACTTAATTCTCTAAAATGCCAATCTTTGGCATTCTTCAGGTAACATTTGGGAATAGTGGTTTCTCCCAGTATGCTTAATCATGGCATTGTCTTTATATTTTTCTTTAGGTTTGTTCTAAATGGTGATTTTTCTCTATGTATGGCTAGTACCCACAGGCTAGGAGACACGAAGTCACCAGACCACACTTAGCAAAACAAAAACACCCTGCACACATTAGCACCAACCTGTAGTACAGAGGTAGCCCTATCTAGGGGCAAAAATCCTCAAACCGGACACCTAATCTTAACTAAAGGGACACTATGTGGCCCAACTGTAGGGCGAATAGTCTAAATTTTCAAAAAGCCATGTTTCATTTTTCATATGTATTTCTTAAAGAATAGTATCTTCCTTACAAATACTTGACAGTGACTCTTTCATAAAACTACATGATTTAGAGTTAAAAACAAAAAAGCAAAAAAAAAAAAACAAAAAAAAAAAACACTACCTGAAATTCATCTGGTCCCCCAATGCTACAGTAACAGGGAGACAAGGAATTTCTGAGATTAGACCCATAAATGTCAGGAGTAAAGGTTACAGATGAATCCTCATAAATGCAAGAACGAGCTTGGCTTTCTAACGAGAAATAACAGCACTAAGGAGTTCTACTAATACACATCAATCACGGTTATGTCCACAGAATCTAAGTTCTATATTGAAACAAGTGTCCGTCCTACAGGAACAGCATTGACAGACTTGCTATTTGTCTGGAAAACAGACAGACCCAATATGGATTGTTAAGGGCAACAGAGGTTTCCTGTTATTATTCTGTTTTGTTTTGAAGACCTAGTACAGTCTAGATATTTACAAAATAATCCATAACTTGGTTCTCAACTTCGAATGTGTGGACCTGGTCCATGGAAATCAATGAAGGGGAAGTACTTATTTACACGTATTTCTCATGCACTAAAACACCATGTATGTGAAAATGTGCAGACCATACTATTTTGAGGGTAATCAGTGGTGAAATTTATGCACATGTTTACACTCTATATTAGGAAGCTGGAGTTTTGTTGACCCCACAAATTAAAGCTTATGTAGGAGTCCCAGCAATTGCTTCCTCCTCCTCTGTTTTGTCATTCAAGTCACAGTCACGAGAAACATTGAAGGAAGTGGCTTTAGCCTCCAGATAGCAGAGGGATAGAGCCAGAGGAAGGGAAAAGGTGAGAGAAAAAGGCACTGACTGAGAAGCAGAGAGAAGGAGTCCGAAGATGAGGATGAGGGAAGGAAGGAAGGAAGGGGAGGTAATGGGAAGGTAGTGCTGGACATCGTCGGGGAGGAAGGAGACCCAGACCTTGGGGAGGCTGGGGAAAGCAAGATACCCATCGTCATCGAGAAGGGAGGGGAAGCTAGGTGGGAAGCATTTGCAGAAACGGAAGGAAAAGTACCCAAATTCAGAATCCTTGCGGTCAGCCTCCTTCAGAGGCTTCTCATGGGTGGAAGGACAGTCAGGCTGAGGAGGGGCTGCAATGGGACCCGAGACAGAATCAAGGGCAGGGACTTCGCAGTCCCCCAGCTCAGACAGCTCACCACTGGAAGGGAGCTCTAAGCTGTCTAGTGTGATCTGGTCGGCCTCCCCAAAGGGGTCTTCCTCCGAAATGTCTGAAAGCAAGTCCATCTCAGGGACCGGTAAAAGGTTTGGGGAAAGAGATGAAACACAGCGAATGAGAGGTGAAGGTGGGCACATGGGAACACGCTACCCTCGGGAGCAAACCCATGATTGAATGAGAAATCGCACAACAGATCCGGTCAAAGGAGAAACAAAGGCAAGAGAGAAAGAGAAGAAATGCGCAGTTAGTGAAAACTTGTACTTACAAGTAGGGATTGTTATTAACACAGTGCAGTTAGAACATGAATTACATGATCCTTTTTTTAAAGAGAAACACTGGATTTAATATTTTCTGACGGATTGCAAATAGACCCAAAGAAACTCAAACGACATTCTTACTCATAAACCTGACTGCTGACAGGTATTCAAAGCATTACACCCAGTCATTTGCTGAAGATAAGCAGAATTTCCTTTGGAATTTAAAGTAACTTTTAAAAATAACCGCATATATCAAAGTAACTAGGCAAAATGGTAGGGAGACTCTGAAAGGCTGAGCTCCTGTTTCAGATGTAACAACCCCTGGGGGCCTTATTAGCATAATTATAAAAGACTCTAACTTTTCAGTAGTTAAAGATATCTTGTTGGTTATTTTTAACTTAATTATTTTCAACCAAATAATTAATTTTAGTATGATAGTCACAAATTCTTTAACAAAAGTATTCGGAGGACCTGATGGCTGAGTCCCTGGGGTTCCTGTAAGGCCCCCTGTGGTCCCTGAGCCCTCCTCCATGCTGACAGGTTGTCAGGACAGGAATTCTTGAGCCACTGGCCGCTCCTTCATCTAGTGGGTTCTTTATAAATTCATGTTGCAGGTCTTTACATTTTTCAAAAGTTAAAATTTAGAAAACATTATAAATCTATAGCAGGATTTCATTTCCTTCTTGTGTTCACTTCCAATGTTATCTATAAAAAAGTTGCTTTGTGCAGATATAGAAAAGAGATCCGATGAACTCAAAGCCTCTTCAAATCTACCTCCAAGTACTTGCCCAAGGTAAAAGGGTATCATAAAATAATAGTGACAAATTTGAAAACATAGCATGAGTTACTTCTCCATTCACTACAGTGTATGCGCCAAATAAGGAAATAAGAAACACACCATCTTCTCATTCACTGTTCACAAAATAATCACCTTTGGCTTAAGAATTTCTTCTTCACTTAGACATTAATGAAAAATAATACTTTTCATAAAAACCATCTTTGTTCATTTCAAAAAAAAACATAATTAAAATACTTGAGAGAGACTATACTTATAATTACTTGTAACAAACAAATATAAATTTCAAGTCACCAAAGCTCCTATAGTAGAGGGATTTAGCTAAAAAGGATGATTTTGCAGACAGTTAAAAATTTTAGGCTACTAAATTATTTGCTTGCATTAATATAACTTACATTGCAATATTTTGCTTTGAACAACAATTAGAAAAAATGTTTGAGACCCTGTTCAAACCAGTAGAAGCCTACATACTGAGAACTTCTATCAACAGAGAACATACGCTAATTCTAAATGATACCTGAGTTCTGAAACAACAAATGTAACAGCCTCCAGTCCAAGTACACTTAAGATCACATTTTTCTGCTCATTTACCATACCTTTCCTTCAATGAATTGCACATGTGGGGCTTTAGTCGGGCTTCTGAGGTCCCTCCTGCCATCCCCATCTTGTACCACAGCAGTGCTGACAACTCTAGGGCCGTATGCTGAAACCTCCCCAGCAGGTCCAGGAAAATCCTTCATAAGACTTTGATCCACAACACCAACTGGAGCTAGGAAAGAAGGGTCACTCGGGATTACTTCAGGACATTTCAATGGTCAAGCTTACACTAAGAAACAGGCAGCATGCAGACATTTAGCAGGAACGTTGTTTGAGCTCTGAAGATACCAACATATCAAACCCATTTTTAAACTTTTCCAAATTCTAATTATAGTCCGAATTTTAACCCATTCAACTACACCAGGCTCTCAAATCCGATTTTTGAAGGATGTAGAGTCTGATCATTGGCCAGAAGGAGGAGCTCTAAGACCAGCTGAAACAGACATGGCGCATAATGTCAGAATCCTAATGTGAGCAATATTTGAATTCTCTAGGGTCTCTTTGATCTTGCCTGAACTTATTTCTGAATCTATTTACCGCAACAAATAATTATCTAGGGGTTAAAATGACTTGCTTCAGTAAGTTTTTAAGATTTTTCTATAAAGGAACCTTTAATTTGAGTACCCTTCAAAATTATGACAAGACTGGAAAGTTCGGTATTACAGAAATAACTTCTATGTTTAATAGTTTTCATTTTTCTAACCTCCCCGCTGAATGCCTCAACATGATCTACAGTAAATCTAATACACAGACACCTTCCTGACCCAGCAAACCTGGCCCTCATGTATTTCCTTCATCTCTCCTGCAGATGAACAGGAACATACATTGGGTTGAAATTTCTGTCATACAGCAGATCAACCTAAGAGGGCATCACATTTCAGCAAATGCAAGTGAGGAGCAACGACAAGGCCTCGGTCCATATGTAGCTTCTCCCTCAAGCCCCCAATGACTAAGGTTATTTCACCTGTATAAAAAGTGCTTGACTGACAGGGTGACTGACAGTGGTTCTATGTCCCCAGAGAAGTGCAGTAGACACAAAGGCCTCTAGGCCGCAAGCTCCTAGAGGGCAGGGATTGTGTGATCCGCCATATTGAACTAGGGAGGCATCAAGCACCTCTAATCTCTGTATTACAAGAAAGCTCTCAGCCCACACCCTTCACGTACCCTGTCCAAACCTTCCTTCTTCCCCAGCCTTGCCTTTTTCGCCAGATACCACACTCATACGTTCACCAGTTAACCAAGCCAGAAACCTTAATGCCTTCAGCCTTCATCCCACAACACCATCAAATCCAACTGAATCTAAATGTGGCCAGTTCTTCCTCTGCATTTTTACCACTCTGGGCCACTTTAAGACTCTGACGGTCCTTAAGTACTCCCACTTCTGAAAGCCCACACCAAAATCACAAAATAAAGTCACATCTTACATGAAGCATAATTATTTCCCAGCATTTTTAACTTTTGAAAAGATTTTAATAACTCTTCCTTGGAAAATCTAGGACTATGAGTAACTCTTTCAATTTATGATTATGATTTTTAAGCACCTCTTGCCCATATGCAAATTATTGCAAAGTGGGAAACTGACCTACAAATGGTTTAAGCTGTAAGGTAATCAAAATGTTAAAGAATATCAAGTTTAAAGTTATATAACGAGGTTGACAAAATACTTATTTTGCATGCTTTTAGACACTTATTAATTTCAGTGTGCAGGAGCTAGGCTATTTGTTTTGGGGTTTTTTTGCATTTTGAGACAAAAAACCTTTCTAGGTCTTAAGTACTTGTTGAACCCTGAGGAGCCTGGAGGCCGCAGGTGCTCAGGTTATGGTGCCAAACGGCCAACTGGTTACTCTTGCCCAAGCAAGATCCTCATTCCTCTCACCTGGAGTACTCCAAACCAGTCTGCCTGCTTCCTCTCTTGTCCTGTCAATCACTCTCAACATTGCACCAACTGATTTTTTTTTTTTTAAAGATTTTATTTATTTATTTGACAGACACAAGTAGGCAGAGAGGCAGGAGGAAGCAGGCTCCCTGCTGAGCAGAGAGCCTGATGCGGGGCTCGATCCCAGGACTCTGGGATCATGACCTGAGCCGAAGGCAGAGGCTTTAACCCACTGAGCCACCCAGGCACCCCTGCACCAACTGATTTTTTAAAAAAGGTAATATAGTGCACTTACGGGCTGGTTTAAGTGTGCACACATGTGTGTAACACACACACACACACTTCAAAAGCACTAGAATAAAAACTGTATTCTTCCTCGTGGCCTGCAAGGTCCTGCATGACCTGTCCCCAGCCTACCTCTCCCCATCATTTACAAAGCTCTAACTAGCCTTCTTTCTGTTCCCGGCCTGCATCAAGCTCTCCCTCATCTTAAAACCTTCAGACCTGCTGCTTCTGCCACCCAGAATGCTTTATCTCCAGCTCTACTCAGTGCTAGCTCCCCCTCATCCCTCAAGTCTCAACCAAAATGGCTCTTCCCCAGATGGGCCTTCCTTCTCCCATGGCCCAATCTCAGGTCCCTGCTTATTCCAGTCTCCATTTTCAGACATCACCGTCTCCTCCAATCTCAGATGCATCTCGGTTGTTCTCTTAAATAACTGACTTGCCTCCTTTGGGGTTTGATTTCCCAATCTCAGAATCCCACTGTTCAAAAAAAGCTGTTCTAGACTGACTTTTATTTTAATGCTTCATCTTAGATATCACATTCATTTTTAAATTGCATGCAAGAACTGGGAGATTTATTTTCATTTGCCAAACCTTTTTAAAGTAAGAAATATTTATGAATCTAAATTAGTCCAGGGTAACTTAAAACCTAAACAGGGACAAGAAAATATAACCCATGGCAACAACAACAACAACAGGAAGGTATATTGCTGGGCAGTGGTGGTGAAAATACAGTTTAGTACCAGGTTACAGCTTCACTTTGCTTTGGGAGGGAAAAAGCCTGGAATCCCTCACCAAATAGTTCACTGGCTGTCTGGTCATGTATTGGCATGAAAAGCCTTCTATTTTTCACAAGAACACAATAATCCTTTTGATGACTGGCCCATCTGATGAATTACAGGTCCAAAACACAAAAGGAAAAATAATGGATCACTGTGCCATGTTTGTTGCTTTTACTTGTAAAAATCATTGTTTTCAGATACAGACCTACTATAATCCTCTGCACTCACCACAAGATGGTGGGTTTCCGTGTTTATCTATGTCAAAACACAGTGGTTAATTGCTCTTTCTAAACTCTAGAATTTGCAATATAAGAGTTGTAATGCCTCAGAGTTTAAAACAAAAGCTGAAACAGGCAATATTCCAGCAGCAGGAATGACTTCTCTCGGGGCATTAACCAACACTGACAGCAGTTAGGCAGCACTTATATAAATCCTCTGTGGTAAGGGGCAAGGCTTGTGAAATAGTTCCATGAGCAGGCACATTTTTCACATTTACGTGAAAAAAGTGCTCAGTTGTTGATGAGCTAAAAGATACACTGACAGCTATTGCACATTAAAAATTCACTAAATTTAAATTACCACATTTGGAAAGGTGGACATTTACTTGAACCACAATTTATGAACCCCTTGCACTACCTGTCATCTCAAAATTATATGGAAGATTCTCCAGAGTCAAGATTTAATCACTATATATACAAAAATGCCCATCAACAAATCCCTGGACAGATCTCTGTGTGTCTACCTGGATCTCTTTTCCAAGTTTATTCCAAGAAAAATAGATCAAGGCTGAGGAGTGTCAATCCTTCATCAATGTGAGTGCATTTTAAAAATCAGGCCTATAATCAGAGAACTGATGGTTGCCAGAGAGAAATGGGGCACGGGAGGGGCAAAAAGGGTGAAGTGCAATGGGAGATACAGACTTCCAGTTACAGAATGAAGAAGTCATGGCGGTGAGAAATACAGAAGAGAAAACACAGTCAATGATAGTGTAATAGTACTGTATGGTGATGGATGGTGGCTTCTTCACTTGTGGCAAACACAGCATTACACAGAAGTTGAATCACTATGTTACACACCTGAAACTGATGTAACATTGTTACATCAACTATACTCAAAAACTCAAATTATAAACACACACACAGACACACACACACACACACACACAAATGAGCACAGTTTTATCTACTAGCTTATCTGTTTTAGCCACTTAAAACAGAAGTTGTTCTAGTTCCTATTTCGGAAAAATGTCAGTAAAAGAAGCAACCAAGAAAGGTCTTAGGTGATCAATAGCAGTGAAACAAATTTTTAAAATTTAATATTACTATTTTTATGTATGTTTTGAGATTAATCAACCAAAAAATGTTGGAAAACTACTTCTAAGAGAAAGTCATTCATCAATTAATTTCTTCCAGGCACAAAATAAAATGAAGTCTCTTATAAAGCATTCTAACATAAAATTAACTTTAGTTCCTTTACAGAAGACCTGCTATTAAGCCAAAATTAGGATAGTAAGATACATATATGAAGGAAAAGAATATCAATTTATTTCCATATGTAAAATATATAAAACTACAAATATGTAGCTAATTAGAATTCTAATAAAACAATATAGAAATTTATACAAATCTCCCTTCCCCCAACCCCAGCCTTGGCTGAAGAACTAGTGATTACACTGTACTTCCCTACCTTTTGTTAAAGCACTACATTTCAACTAGTCTTTGAAAGAAGCAGATGGTTTCTGATATGCTAGAAAGTTTGGTAAGCTTCAGTAAGGGTTTTTAAACTCATAAAATTAGAACATTTTAAGTTCCTTTGAATAAAAGTTCTTATGTTATCATACCACAATCTGTGGAATTCCACTTTTGCCATGAATTAACAAGCTTAAGAAATTAAAACACATAAAATACATCACAATTAAGTCAGATATATGTTTTTCCAACATCTTATCCACAAGAATTCTCAATATTTGCATACACTGCAAAAATTTAGGTTCAGAATGACAGCTGAACACTATAAGCTTTTCTTGTGAGTATAAGAAATACCATTTTATTTACTCAGAATAAACAGCTATCCCTCTAGGATGTTTCTGAGGACCTCATTAACTACATCACCACTTTCTGACCCCACTGGATCACAGAAAGATGAAAGGAATCCAAACTATCATAAATGTGTTTACCTCCATCTAGACTCCTGGAGACACGTTTGCTAGAGGTACGCTCAAAGTGTGGCGCTGGCCTATCAATGAGGGTGCTTGCCTGACGGGTCTGGGCTTGGGTACGGCCGCTGTAGCGGAATTTGGACCCCAAGGTCAGGAACTTGGCCTTTGGTGGCTGCTCTGGAGACACAAGCCTGTAGGGAGAAACAAAGAACTGAAATAGGAGCCTTTATGAATTTTCTTTTTTAAAAAAAGTTGAAACTTTATATTTTAATATCCCATTTTACTAAGATTACTCAACTTAAAGAGCAAAAGGCTGCCTAAAGTTTCTAATGAAAAAGAACATTATTTATAAATCCTCCTACATACAGAGCTTTAGGATAGCGATAAGATGAGTAAATCCACAATTATGTATTCATGAATAGTATGTTTCCCACAACCTGAGCAAAAGAGCAGCTGTTCTCAGTGTATATCAAAGGCTATTTGTATTAGCTTAAATCATTTATATAAACACATATGTCTGAATTCTTGCTTCTAGCTATAAGTGCCAAGTGGCAATCCATTACCATTAGTAATTCTCAATATTTATGTCTATTTCTCCTGGGAAAGAACATCCAATCCAACTCAGGAATCCATTCCATCAAGCAATGCTTTCCCATGAAGAACACAGCACACAGCAGATCTGCAGAGATGACTAACATTGCTTCTTGCCAGCACAATTCCGCTGCTTACACCCTGGGCTCATAATAAATGAAGGCAAACCTTCTTGATGTCAAATACTTTCAGGCTTATGCAAAAGTATGTTTTTAGTAAATAAAGCCAATCTTGTCTGGCATACAATCGGAATTGTCTCGCTTCCATTGTCTAATCTCGAGTTGGCAAAACATCTTAATAAACAAAGATAATCTTGGAGCTCTTACAGCATTTATTAAACAAGATGGCTTCAGTTGACAATTCCAGAACATGAGCTCCATCAAAATTTTTTCTTTCATTCTCCAAGGAGTGATTTCTTTTTTCCTTTTTTTTTTTTTTTTTTTTTTTAAGATTTCATTTATTCACTTATTTGTCAGAGAGAGAGAAAAAGAGAACACAAGCAGGAGAGCTGCAGGCAGGGGTAGAGGAAGAAGCAGGCTCCCTGCTGAGCAAAGAGCCCAATGCGGGGCTCAATCCCAGGACCCTGGGCTCACAACCTGAGCCAAAGGCAGATGCTTAACTGACAGAGCCACTCAGCCATCCCTCCAGGAAGGGATTTCTTAAAGAGTTCGTTAAAATTTCAAGTATTTTTCAACCTTCGGCTTGTTTTTTTTGTTTTTGTTTTTGTTTAAGAAATTTTCTGCTTAAAGGCAACAACAACAGATTCCAGTCAAGGTAAAGGCACAGAAAGATTAAATTTCTCAGCATCCTGATCATAAATGAGAGAGGCAGGGTGAGAAATATGGTCATTTATCATTCTCTCTCTCTCTCATTGACTATGACAGGGTTTCCCTACCTAGCAATCCAGTTAAGGAGGATCTAAGAATGCTCTATAAGAAAGCAATCATCTATAGAAAGGAAAGGGTCACTGGCAGGCTCATCACTGCAATGATAAAGAAGTATTCATTCTCGGGGCACCTGGGTGGCTCAGTCAAGAGCCCAACTTCTTGACTTCAGCTCAGGTTGTGATCTCACGGTTGTGAGGTCAAGGCCCACATTAGGCTCTGGTGCTGAGCATGGAGTCTGCTTAAGATTCTCTCTCTCTCCCTCTCCCTCTGCTCTTACCGTCTCTCTCTCTCTCATCCTGCCCCTCAAAAAAAAGGGAAGAAATATTCATTCATGAAAAACAAGTTAGCTAAATCACATGTATCTTTATCATCTATTCATGAAGTATACTCTATAGTCCATGGAAGATCAACCAGAGGAAAAAAGAAGAATTTCTAAAGAATACCTCAAAGGGAAAATATGCATTGATGACCCTAAAAGAAACTACCCCATCCCCCAAAATTATTAAACTAAAGACAACAAGTGTTGGCAAGCAGGTGGAGAAATTGGGACTCCTGCGCACCATTGGTGGCAATGCACAATGATGTAAAAGTTACGGAAAACAGTATGGGGCTTCCTCAAAGCATTCAACATAGAATTACCATATGATCCAACAATCCCACTTCTAGATATTTATCAAAGGAAAAAAAAAAAAGAAACCTGAAATTGGGATCCTGAAAAGAAATCAGAAGCACTCCTAAGTTCATTACAGCACTACTGGCAATAGTGAAGATGTGGAAACAACATAAACGTTCACCAAGAAATGAACGGATAAAGATGTGGTCTACGCACAGAGCGGAGTGATACCTGGCCTTACGAGAAAAAGAATTCTGCAACCCATGACAACATGGATGGATCTGGAGGACACGGTGCTGCGTGAAACAAGCCGGACACAGAAAGGCAGGGACTACATGATTTCACTTGTGTGAGGAAGCCGGAACAAACTCATAGATTCCAGACTGGAATGGTGGTTACCAGAGACCGGCAGGAGAGGGAAATGGGGAGTTGTCAGTCACCAGGCATAAAGCTTCAGTGAGGATAGAGAGACCAGCTGCACAACACATGACCAGTCCACAACGTATCAAATGCGTGATGTATATGCAGCTACAGTCAACAATGTATCATACGTGTGACATATAAAAGGACAGGTCTCATGTTATCTGAACCAATAAAGTGTAACTATTCAAAAACAAAACAAAAGATAGGATGTAAAGAGAAGAGTGAGGTTGGGGGTATCTGGCAGCCATCTGTAGGGTCACCTCAGTTGACTGCCTCTCTCAACCAAAGGCCAGGTCTTCCTAGAACGATCAGCTTCATAGGAGGATGTACTGGTAGCTCTCATTTCTAGTTCCAGTAACCGCTCCCACCCCCAGCAGTGACAACACCCCTTTTAGGCCTACGGGTATTATCAAATCTGATTCATGAAACCCAACTCAAATTTTTAAAAAAACTTTAAACTAGAAACAGGATACTGATTTGTGGGAATTATGAGAAATCTTAAAGAATATCTAGGTAAAGGCATAGAACTTTTTAAAGATTTAACTTTCTCCTCTTCTTTTACAAAATTAATTGAACTCACAAAGAGAGAAACCTGAAAAACTGCAGTCTTCACAAAACAATTTCAAACAAAATTAAGAAAACCTCCATTAGTGTTTTCTGATTTTCTGGTTATTAGTTTATCTTACATAACTTCACACAGATCTGTGCTAGGTCCCATATACAGCAGGTGCTCAATAAATACAGGCTGGAGGGCGCTTGAATTTAAGTAGCCAGAAAATCCAAAGACAGGTCTACCTATCCATTTTCCAGAATTCTCATTCTCAGAACAGAATTGAAGAACAGCTTTTGAGTTGTCTTACGCCAGGATTTTAGAGAAGGGAAGTTGGGCTACAAGTTCTAGAACTTCTAACACAGTGAGAACTACTGCTGAACATTTCAGTCTTAATTTAATAAAACAATCCCAATGCTACAAAAAGCCCTTGTAAAATGAGGTTGTTGGTTTTATATTTTCCTCCAGTTATGAAAGCAGGCTCTCATTTATATAGACTGGGATATGTAACCAGTTAAATATCTAAGTCCAGGTGAGGAGAGTTCTACACAATCATATTTCTTTTGTCTAATTTGTTTTTTAATTTTTAAAGATTTTATTTATTTACTTGACAGAGAGACACAGCAAGAGAGGGAAAACAAGCAGTGGGGGATGGGAGAGGGAGAAGCAGGCTTCCCTCTGAGCAGGGAGCCCGATGTTGGGCTTGATCCCAGAACTCTGGGATCATGACCTGAGCAGAAGGCAGACGCTTAACGACTGAGCCACCCAGGTGCCCCTAGTCTAATTTGTTTTTAAGGTAACAGACGGTTGGTTGCCATTTAAATACATATCAGATCATCCACTTATGCATTTTGTAAAAGATATTTCAAAAATATAAATCCAAGAAATACAAGGCAAGTATTTTAAAGGCATCTATCTATCACAATGTAAGATTAGGAAAGTCATTAACTAGAGGACTTTTATTTTATTTCAACTTGAGATAAAATACTTCTTTACCCAAATGGCACTGGTGACCACATACACAAAATATTAACTTACAGATTAATTTTCTGACAACAAAGAAATCCTTAATTAAATTGCAATTAAATAGAAGCAAATATCAAAACAAAAACGGACTGAACAGACATTTATTTAGCTTTTTCTAAAAGAGTATTTTTGGCAGCTTAAGTCAATGGTAATGCCAATAAATTTCCTACCAAAATATAGTCTAAGCAACAAAGTGTTTCAAGATCACTGAACAACTGTTTCCTTTTGACATTACTTTTCTTTACCGAAGGAGAACATACCTTCATAAAAACAACATCAAAATCACTACAAGACCTCTACCATTTCACTTTTGGGAAATAATAATGACCTAATCATTCTAGAGTTCTAATGGTCCTGAACAAGACAGTCTAAGGTGACATCACAAAAGAAATCAACTTTTACATATTTTACTGCTTAAGAAGCACAGTTAACATTTTAATTTTACAAAAATCCTCCCATTATAAATCAAGTATTATTATTTCAGATACTATTATCTCAACATTATATTATTATAATGTTTATTATTAATTACCTATGGAAAGTAAAGGAACGTTTCAAGAAAAACGCACATTTCAGTCACTAAAGCCAATCAGACATTTAAGCAATAACGTTCTCTATGAAGTGGCAGATGACACTGACTGACTTACTCTGGATCTACAGGGCCAAGTTTAAGGGACAGTTTTAATGCCAGGCTCCAGGGGCCTGTGCTAATCTTGTTTATATACCGCCACCACCACCAAAAGCCGGGGGGCGGGGAGGAGAGAAGGAAGCACGGCAGAGCAGGTACGCAGTGGGCACTGTGAGCCCTAGGGCCTGCCTCTAAATTCCATCTCCACCCGTGCCTGTCTATGGGACCATGGGCACATTTCCTGACTTCTGTTTCGCAGACTTTCCAAATGTAAAGTGAAGATTACAACGGTGTTGTAAAGATTAAAAGAACCGATCCAGGCACAGCACTTAGAAGGCCCTATCAAACACTCAAAGAAGAATAACCGCTGTACTATTACATTCTTGTTCCGCTAATATTGGTTTGGCTGAGTGGCTATCGATCAATAGAAAGATCTGTGTCTTTAATGGCTTCAATCTGAAGGCCATTTTAATTTTCTGAAGAAATCATTTGCATCGTTCCTGATAAAAACAGAACAAAATCCAGATCTGATTCAAAGCACTCTGCAGACGAATTGTGAATGCCCTGCTTTAGAAACACCATCTCCTATTCTTTGTAAGAAAAGTTGCACAAGGTTTAAAGATCTAAAAATCCTTTTGTTAACCATTATCTCAAAAGTCTGCAGAAGCAAACTGGTCTACTTTTAAATTGGAGTCATAGTGTGTCAGCAAACATGGAGAAGCCTAGAGTTTTGAAGGGCTAACAGACATTTCGGAAACACTTGCTACAGAATTACCAGAGGAAGGACCGCACAGAGGTGACCAGTACAGGCGTTGGGATCACAGAGCCAGGTCCTCAGCTCTGCGTGGGCACCTGGCGCCCGTGCCCTTTATGGGCACCCAGCTCTGAGCCACTTGCTCAGTGGGGTTGAGTGATACATGAGACGGCACAAGGTAAAGCAAGTGGTCATGTGTCTGACGACAATATCCGCTCAAAGAATGTAGCACCTGTCATTTCTAAAATAATTATTGTTTCCATTATCATTACCTGACAGGAAAGCCTGCTATCTGTCCTGCCTTGACCTGTGTGTCATTTAACTCATAAACGTTATCTACTAGCTTTATCTGAGGCAGGCTCACGTTGTTCTGAGGAGAAATTTGTCATGGCTACCAAGAGAAATTACAAACTTTTCAAAGATTAATAGGTTCAGTGTAACTATGTCAGATGGATTCAAGTATCTTTTATGAGTTACATTTCTCTAAAATGAATATATTAGAGCAGTCTTGAAAACAGATCATGTGTCAATTTAACTTGAGTCACTTGTACCAGCTAATAATTCACCTTAAAAATAGCACACTGTAGTACAAACTAAGAATAATGATTTTGCTGATGGTGATGAGAAACATTATTATATACCAGAAATAGTTCTACATTTGTTTCGTGTGTTTTCTCACTTACTCTTTGAAGTCACCCTATAGCTACTATTATTACCATCACACGGATGACGAGAGTGAGACCCAGGAAGGTAAAGTAACTTACCACAGTCACACACCCAGAGTGTGGTAGGACAGGAGTAGCAAAGCAAGAGTCTGAGGCAAAAAGCTTCACAATGGAGGATCGTAGCTATACAGACCACAGTAATATGAACTGAGGAAACAGGGAAAATGACAGCTAAGAAGAGTAATGGAGAAATATGCCCTTGAAGATGAGCACAAAAGGAGATGGGACCCAAGCTAAAGAGAGCTAGAGGGACTAAGGAGATCTTCTGGTTTTGTCTATTTTGGTTTTTAAAGGAGTAAGACATGGACATGGACATGTTTACTGGCCAAAGAAGTCAAAGGCAAAGGAGAGTACATGATGCACAAAGCATGATCTTATGTGAGGCATAAAATGAAGGATCGAGACTCCATGGGGAATGATTATTTTTTTTCCTTGAGACAGGATAGAGGGAAACAATGAACAGAAAAAGGAGGGAATGCTAATAATTATGGGCAAAAGTGGGAAAACAGGGTACGTGAACCGAGAATGCTCATGACCATAGCTTTTATAATCTGTGACCCAGGCAAAGAGGGCATCTGAGCAGAGAAGCCAGATTCCTAGGGACTCAGGAAGACCACGAATATTGTGATGGGAAAGGAAGGAAAAGGTCTGGCCCCCTGGCAGCTCTGAGGATCCAGCTGACATGGGAAATAACCTACGGCACTATGCGGAGTTAAGCGATTCTTTCTCACAAGGAACAAGCATGTGTACCAGGAAGGCGGCGTCTGTGAGCACAGATACAGAAGCGGTAAGGTCGAGACTGACCCAGGACCAGTCACGGGGCAGGCTGATGTGCACAATGGGCACGTGGTTAGAACATCCTGGCAGAGCAGCAAAGGGACAGACCCCCAGCATTTAGGCTGATCGGGGAAGGAAGTTTAATGGGAAGGAGCTGGTAAGGACAGTGAAATGAAGCCTGTGATGACTGATGGTGGCAAGAGGGATGGCAGCCAGGCCTGGAGAGTGTGGTGACAATAAGAAAGGTAGCTGAAGTCCGCCAAGTTTGGGACCCCTGTAGACATGGATCAGCTCTGAGTGAGGACAAGGCACGGCCAAGGAGATACGGCACTGAGGTAAGATAGGGTGTGGCTGCCTCTGTCCTTCTCTTCATAACCACCTCTTAATATGCACAGGGTACCAATAGCTGTTCTAATGAATTTTAAGCTGTTGCATTAAAATTACCTGTAAAAGGTATGATGTTCCACGCACACTTTCCATAGTCTTTTTGCTGCCCGATGGTTTGGCAGTTTGAATCCAATGGTGCTCTCAAATTGTTCGAGCTAGAATAAATCAATACACTAAATCAGTATAGTTCTTAGAAGTTGATGAGAAGCTACTGAAAAACATGGACTCAGATGTTTCTGTGAGAAGTTAGTTCTCGAAAAAAGGAGACATTCGTGTATGCAGTATAATTACACAAAATGAATTTTTCATAGGCTGCAATACTAGTTTCTGTGAAAAGCGAGTACAACTACGGACTCGAACCCTTGTCCACTACAACTCGTTCTACCACCTTCCTACTCATCTCTATCACTTAGATGTTTCAACAACAACAAAATAATGTCCTCCCCCCACTATGTGGCAGACACTTACTACTTTTCCTTTTTACTAAAAGGTATGGGTGGCTCTTGGTTTTTTGTTTTGTTTTGTTTTTAGCAATGTGAAACTTCGTGTTGCTTATCATTAAGAACTTATCATTAAGTTCTTATCATTAAGTTCTCTGGCCTTTTTTTGCCACAAAAGAATAAAGAATAGTTCATTTTATTAAAATTCAGTGGGGAAAAATTCAGTTATCCCATGGCCATGAAGAAGAACAGGGACCAGAGCTGTTCAGTTATGCCCAAGCACACATGACATCGCTTACCTCTGCCGGCCTAACTTTAATGTAGAAGTTACTGCGCTTATAGGATATTTTCAAGATTTTCGGCCAAGCAAAACGATTGATTCTCAGTCTGTCTTTGTAAATGAGGAGCCCGTTAGCGCACACACCCAGCTTGATGTCCACGCCTTCCGAGTCCTGCCAAGCATAAGCCGTCATTGACCATGGTTAGAGCTGTCAGAGTTACAAAGGACAGGAATCCCATTATCCTAGCCCCTACCCCCAACCCTTAAACCATGACCAGGAATGCCAATTTTACGGGTTGGTATTTAAATCTCAGTGACAGTCCACGAGTTAAGAGAACATCTTAAATCTATTATCTTCCGGGACCAACTCTGATTGGTCAAAGAGGTATAGCCACCTGACCACAGGATACAATAATTTCCAAAAGGCACAACCTCTATGTTTCCCAGCCTGCCTGCAAGAGCTAATGGGGAAGAAGGGAAACAGAACTCAATGCAGACATTCTGAAGAGATGGGCTTTTCCTGGAGGCTATTCCAGCCCTGGGGGATGGTCTGTTGGCCCACCCTCCGGTGCGGTTGGCCATTTTACTTCAGGCAAATTTATTTCAGATGGACTATGCTAGCTGATAGCTGTTAAATTTATGCCTCTATTCAGCAAAACACCAATCCCTCACAGAAAATGTCCTTGGACACTGACTGTGGAAATCTATGAATTCTTCGGAGAGGCTCTTCCATAACTCAGAGGGCTGACCTCCAGTCCACATTACAGCATTGCTTTGGCTGGCATATTTCAATGGACTGCAGACTAATCTTGAATTTATTCAAATGGTTTTCACTCCCCAGCATCTTAGCTTGGAGTAGATGACAATCTAGAATTATCACAAGGCTGAATATTCTAGAACCAGATAAATTTACAGATAAAAGTTAAACAGGGTCTCCCCACATTGCAAGTGATATTGAGGACCCAAATGCACAACACTCAAAATACACAGGTCGTTGTTTAACTTTTAAGGGAAGAACTGGATCTCATTCAAGATTTGTAAAATTGAAGATTACTATTCAGAGAAATTCATATTTTCAGAAATCATTTACAACATGGCAGAAATTCTTACTGAGCTGCTACAACAAACACCACATTTAATCTAAGTCTGATATCCAATCAAAGTGTAACATTTCGACAGCTTTGTTACTTACTCATCTAAAACAAATCAGTTTACTTTTTTAACCAACTGATGCCAATTGCTTTCTCTGCTACCATACCTGCATAATTCATATATACACATAAAATTACACTGGACAATCCGAGCAAGTCTAAAAAAATCTAATCTATAAGGTGCTTCATTCACCCAAATCTGGCAGCCCCAGTTCTCTCTAGGAACAGAGAAAAAAGCTGGGATGAATCAGGCACAGGTGCCCAAGCAACTTGGCACTAACCACAAATGATGTGTTTGCCAAAAACATCACCGGCCATGGCCACAGGGAGCAGGCCGGAAGACTGCTCAAGACAGCATGTTCTCACCACAAGTAAGGAGGCAACAGTGACTTGAAACATTGAACAAAGTCATCTCTAGTCTGAGCAATCTTCAGACAGGACACTGAAGCTATTTTATCTTCCTTAAGAATAAACACAATCTGGAACCAAGTAAGTTGGTTCATTTTCCATTGTTCTGCATACTGCTTCAGAATTATCAGTATTTGTGTAAATATGAATTAGAGATAAAGAGTAACAAGTGAAAGGGGAAAAAAGCATGCCTTAGTCCCCCACATGTGACTTCTGCCAATCATCAGCAACAAAGTCAGAAAAATAAACAAAAAAGGAGCACCACGTTTGCCTTGCTCGCTCCTTCTCAGGGAGCTGCGACCTATGCATATCAGCAGGATCCCAGGCCCTCTGACTTCTGAAAGTTCTTGCAGATGAGAGAGAGAAGAGAGGGGCGAGAGGGGAGGGAGGTCAGGGACACGTCCCTATAACAACTACAGCTCCTCTGAAGACCATCCTCTCCACACACAGATCTCTCCTTCTCGACTTTGGCAACACTCTCTGCCCTCACCCTTTCGAAAGAATTGGGAGGGCTGCTGGTTTGTGCTCAGAGGTATTCCTGTCTCGTGGTCTCCCTGTACTGGGTGTCAAGAGTCCTTCCATTCAGTGCTCTTCGGCCTGTCCCAATAGGAATGTGCCATTAAGAATTCTTAATAAAAAAGGTTTTTTTATTAAATATAAGTGAGACAATGAAAGATGAAGGCACAAACTTCAAACTCCACCAAAAATTATTTTATATTGCTACAGACCTTTTTTTCAACATGCTACAAGTATCCTCCTCATCAAATATTATGAGTCTATCAGATGACAAACAGAATGAATAAATGTTACTCTGAATTTATTTAAAAAGCAATCTGTCCTAACCACACAGCAAGAATGGAAATTATACTGAAAGACAGCCCACTACAACTTTTTTTTTACTTTTCTAAGATACACCTTAAAAAAATAAGAATCATGGGCACCTGGGTGGCTCAGCCGTTAAGTGTCTGCCTTGGACCCAGGTCATGATCCCAGTGTCCTGGGATTGAGCCCCGCATTAGGCTCCTTGCTTGGCAGGAAGCCTGCTTCTCTCTCTCCCACTCCCTGGGCTTGTGCTCCCTCTCTTGCTGTGTCTCTATCAAATAAATAAAAGCTTTAAAAACAACAACAACAACAAACAAGAATTGTTGGACTTTGCCAAGTTTTGCCATCTAAGAACTGGTTTTTAACTAGTCATCAACAAATTTAAAAATTTACACATGGCCGGTGCACCTGAGTGGCTGAGTGGGTTAAGCCTCTGCCTGCGGCTCAGGTCATGATCTCAGAGTCCTGGGATCGAGCCCCACATCGGGCTCTCTGCTTGGCAGGGAGCCTACTTCCCCGCCCTCTCCTCTCTGCCTGCCTCTCTGCCTACTTATGATCTCTGTCTGTCAAATAAATAAATAAGATCTTTAAAATTAAAAAAAAAAAAAATTACACATGGCCAAAGTAATAGCATTTAAGAAGAAGAGAGATCCAAGGGCTTCTTGGTCCCAAACCTGTTCTCTCCTGCCTCCCCTGTCTGGGTCTCTTGGCTGACCCTGCCTGTCTCCATCACAGACAAAAAGGAGCTAGAAGACACACAAGTGATAGGAAGCCCCGTTTTACTCCCTAGAATTTATCAGAAGGTATCAGGCAAATATGGGCATGGTTAACAATATGCAGCTTAAGCAAGTAGTTCTCTGCACTCTGTCTTATGCAGCTGTAAAATTAAAAAACAAAACAAAACACTCAAATCTTAAATGTGGTGGTATACATGGAAGTAATTTTAAGAAAATGGGGTGCCTGGGTGGCTCAGTGGGTTAAAGCCTCTGCCTTCAGCTCAGGTCATGATCCCAGGGTTCTGGGATCGGGCCCCGCATCAGGCTCTCTGCTCATCGGGGAGCCTGTTTCCTCCTCTCTCTCTGCCTGCCTCTCTGCCTACTTGTGATCTCTCTCAAGTAAATAAATAAAAATTAAAAAAAAAAAGAATTAAAGGCATCTAGCACCTAGCAGTTAAATATGATGATCCCAGAGACTACTTACTGACATGGAAAAATCTTTTAACAGAGCAAGCAAAAAACAACCAATAAAAGTAAACCCCTCATAAAATGATACCTGTACTGCGATCCTATAGAAAAAAAGGTCTCAGAGGTCAAGTGCTTTTTTTTTTTTTAAAAGAAAACAAGAAAATGTATCAAAATAGCAATAGTGCTTATTTCTGCATAAAGAGACTTCAGTGTTTTTCTCCCCCTTGTTTGCTTCTGTTTTCTGTAATGTACACATATTACTTTTGTAACCAGGAGAAACAGTTAAAGAATAAAGGAAGCCACTGAGGGAAAAAGTGCTTTGCAAATATGAAGTACTAACAACACAAGAGTGGGAATGATTAATCCGAGGCCTAGGGAGGGAGGAGGTCTTTGGGTGGGAGGCTTTCCAAGAGATTTCTCCAATCACACAATCGGAGATTCCTTGGCTACAGGTAGGGATTGGCAGGGTCTTTTAAAACCAGGCAACCATGGGTTCCTTCCGCAAGCTGACTTTGGACACATTTTTCAAAACCAAATCCACCTTCCGCCTGACCTCCAGCTCTCTTCCTGGGCCGTCTCGACCCTGTGATCATCCAGACTAGGGTCAAAGTATGTGATGCTTATTAGTGGCATCTTCGCAACCCAGTCCCCTTCTCCTATCAGCTAGGCCACCATTCCATCCTCTTCCCACCTCTCAAGTTAGGCTGCAGGTGCTGCCTCCCCAGGACCCTAGGCCAGTCTCCTCCATCCTACAGACCTGCAGAGAAGAGCCTGACCCTCAGGCTCCTTCATAAGCCCAAGTTCCATCCATACTGCTTTTGCCCTTTTGTGGTTGCCAGAAACTGCTCTTCTCTCCCACAACAGAAGTGGGAAGGGGGCTGGGAGAGAGGCACCACTGGACACAAAAGCTGGGATGCAAAATAAGCCATGACAAGGGGTAAAGATGGCTGACAGGGGAGTCTTAGAATAAGTACGTGTAAGAGGGAATTCACTGAGAAAAGAAGTAGGGCAAGAATCCGTGGTCCTTCCCATAAGCATAAACCCCACCATTAGTACTGGAGAAATATTAGACACCCTTGGGTGAGGGTGCACAGCCTTTTCCTAAGAGTTAGCGCGGCCCCTCTGAAACTGGAGTCCTCTCAGAACTTCTGTCAACAGACGGGAAAGATGCTACTTCCTAGCATACGGACAGTACCTTGGCATGATGTAGGTCAACACCATACATGGAGAGCCTCTTTGCATTTTCTAAGAACTGAGAATCAGCTTGTGCTGGAGATAAGCCCCTGAGAATCAAAAGAAACAATATTATCTTATTGGCAGATGCAAAGCAAATGTGGCCAAAATGGGAAAGGAGCGGATGAGCTCGGAGAATCCCCAGGGAGAGAGCAACCCCACAAAATAAGCAGATAAGCAGGAAAGGGTAAGAAGGCTCACCTCTGAACCTCAGGTTCACTTATGAACCTCATAAAATAAAAAGCATAAGGGTAGAGATTTTAGATTATCTCAGAAAATTGCTTTCAGTTTTTTCCCCACTGGAGAAATGGGTGCAACGTAAGTTACCTGAGAATAAAAAAGTGATCTCATCTTTCTGAAAAAGGCAAATCCTTGTTTCCTACTACTTCATTTTATTTCACCAGGATTGCTCATAATACAGACCACAAGTACTTGTATTTGATCTTACACCTACGCTAGTTAACACATATCACATCCTGCCCATACTAAAATTATTTCCATCCCCATCTCTATTCACGACTGCACAAATTTTCAGCTCCCACAAAGCAAAGACTCCATATTGACCATGGCATTTCAGGACCTGGTATTTCAAATCTGAATTATCCAGTAAATACTTATTGAGTAGAATTGGAATAAAGTTAATAATATAAGAAATACTGGTTTGTTTTTTAACAGAAAAATCAATGAATGTGGTCTGTTTAAAAATTTCTAATTTCTGTAAGTTCCTTTCCAGGCACTTTTGTCAATTTTTTTACAAAATTTCAACCCTGTTGAAATATGGGGCAAACTATAATTTTGTAGTGAGGATTTTTTAAATATGTGCTAAAAAACACATTTTCACAAAGATATAAAGGTTCTTGAAATGTAATATGGTATATTTACTATGGTATTAAGTAAGTTAAGCCTAACTGCTAAAGCAAAGGTCATCTTTTGTGGATGGAGGAAACAACTGTGTATTTCAGTTACTGCTCCTAGGTCCATGAACAGCCACATTTCTGATTCAAACCCCAAATCCTCACTATCTCTCCAGCCTTAGCAAATCGGAGAAGAAAAGCAAAAGGCAGAATACATAGTAAATTCCAAACACATATGCGGTATGTCTGGTGTGCATGCTTGTGTGCGTGTGTTAGGGGACAGGTTTGGGAGGAGGAGGAAGAAGCTGTCCGAGGGAGGAGTAACTTTTTCCAACAAATGAAAGCACTGAGGGCCATGAGCACTGCTCTTCACAGGAGAGTCCTGAACACAATGAAAGGCTATAACAAGGGCCACACGTTGTCTGGATTAGCACTAAGGGAGGTTCCAGACAGACAAGCAGGCTAATCTTGTCAACTACGCTCAGATGTCCAGCAAGTGTGAGGAGGGAAGCGGGTTAAATCTACCACAGCTGTTCTCTCTCTGGGAAGCAAGTCGCCAGACCTGTGGGTTTTATGCAGCTCTGCCACCTTCTCTTCCAGCTCCTTCGTCTGTGTGGGGGCAAACTGGAAGTCACTGAGGTCACTACTGCCATGTTCTTCCGGATCATAGTCCCCAAGTTCAGCCTGCAGTGTGTAAGATCCCAGGAGGGCGTGCGTCACGAACGAGCAAGGCAGGCGGCCAGAGGCAATGTCCTGCCGAAGCTGAAGGCACAAGAAGTATCTGTGAGGAGTGAGGGGGAGAAAGAGTGGGGAAGGACATCAGTTAGGACTGCAGCACTAAGAATCCTTGAGTTCTCCTATGCCTTTGAAACCAAACAGACAATACGGGCAACTCTCGATGCCCAGAGCCAAAACCGTCTTCTTGAAAAGGAAGTCCACCCAGCTCCTTGGCTCCGAACTTGTGGCTTATTCACAGCAGGTGAGTCTAACTGGCTAAGCAACAGAAGGGGAATTCTGAGCTGCTATTGCAGACCCAGCATATTAGGATCCCAGTAAAGAGCTTTGTGACTGAAGGTAAAAATTCTAATCACGTAGACTGCTCTCCTTTGATATAAAACTTTAATCAAAATTTGCATGTCCCTCAAAAGTTGTAAAGACTAATGAAGTTTTAAAAACAGCTGTTCTTGAGCATTTATAAGAGCTAAGATCACCCACCCTTTATTCTCCCTAGCCTTTTCATACGAATTTCTTTTCCTGGAAAAGAAAACTGGATGACAATTGTAAGTCAATCTTTACGTTAATGCCCTTACTGCCCGTTTACTCCAACTAAAGTGGCAGCTAGTTCACTTTAGAACGGAAAAAACATGAGCTTCAGGGACAGGCCCAGCTGACCCTGTGCAACCTTGAGCAAGCTCATTTACTTGCCCAAGGATAATTTCCCACCTGTAAAATGAGAATTCTATCCCCCCTTTGAAGGTGAGAATAAAAATTAGATAATATAAATAAAACACACCACATGTTATCTAGGAATCAATACCTAACAGCCATAATAAGAATAATCTTTATAATTATAATGTTAAGTTATGAGTGGTTATTATTTTATGTTCCAAGTGGTTTTACTACACAGTTAGTTATAAAACATTCCATTTTCCACTAAATGACATGCATAACCATGTTATTTATATTCTATGAGGAATTGGGGGCGGGGCACTACCCACACCTTTGCTGACTTTTTTTTTTTTTTTTTTAAGATTTTATTTATTTATTTGACAGAGAGAGAGATCACAAGAAGGCAGAGAGAGAGAGAAGGAAACAGGCTCTGGAGCAGGGAGCCCAATGCGGGACTCGATCCCAGAACTCTGGGATCATGACCTGAGCTGAAGGCAGAGGCCCTACCACACTGAGCCACCCAGGCACCCCTTTGCTGACATTTTAAAACTTGATTTCTACTTTTGAATTTAACTAATTGCTAATAAAGATTACCATCGACCCCTCCAAACTGAATGCCCCTGTCCTTGAAGGTCTTTTAGAGCATATCCTTCCTATTAGCGGCCAGCTACCTTCTTTCTTTCTTTGCTGGTGTGTCGGCCCAGTCTCCTCCTGCACCCTGTTGCATGCATTCCAGCCCCATGGCTGTTGGGTTGGACAGCACAATCTGGACCGTGCAGTCAGCCATCACCCAGTTCAGTTATACCTAGGTTACCACTGAGTCCGCTGTCAGGTGGGGCAGAGACCTGGTTTGTCATCAGCCTACTGCCACAGTTAGCCATGTAATTGCCCCGCAGCGAGTGCTCAATGGTCTTCTGAAAGAGTGGAAGTCCCCTCACTGTCACTACAGTCTGAGGATTTTTATGCATGGCAGGAGCATTCTTTCTAAAGAGGATTATATTCCCTTGATCCTGAAACACCACATGCACAACTGCATTAAATCTAGAAAACTCAATTTTTTTTTAATTTTTATTTTATTTTATTTTTAGAAAACTCAATTTTAAACTAGGATTCCAGGGTATTCTTCGATTCTCGAAGTCTGATCAAGAACAGGGATCGTTCTCCACATTCTAGGGCACTTTGAAGACCTCAACATAAAGATTCCATCTATTTCTAAGATCTCGTTCTCTTTTTAGATAATAGTCTTGACTTTTCACACTGGTTCTTTCCTGTTTTCAAAGACGAAGTCGAAGGCCCAGAAACTTGTGACAACTCCGCAGCTTCCTGAACTTCCCAGCTCTACCTTCTTCACAGAGCAGGACCCGGCAACCTTCAAACATTATTCTGAACAGTGTTCCTCGATGCCTCAAAAGCCACCTCAGCTTCTAAATTTGCACTCAAGCCATGGGGAGGATTCGGTCCTGACATCTGGGCTCCAGGCAGGTAGCTGGTCTCAGGCTGCCAACAGAGGCCTTCTGTTATTTGCTCAACAAACTATCTCATTCCTCCCACCACACACAGAGAGACTGTTCAAGCCCCATTTCAAAGAAAAACCCAAGCACTTACGGATGCCGTAAACTGCAATCAGCGGAGGATTACCATCCCCCAAACAAATTATGGCAAGAAGCGTGTGTAAAGTCAGGGAACGGGGTCACAAAACCCCCGCTGCAGTGGTCAAAGGCATTCCTGTGGTGAGGCTCTGTCTCCAGAGCACATCAACCCATCAAGCCTGATGCTCCCAAGCAGCTCACTGTGCAGTTACAAAGGCTATGGTCTATTATTTACTAGCTGAAGCTAATTCGATCACAGCTCACTTAGTATGAGAAAACCCCTATCCAGCAACAAGCAGCGGTGGGCGGCGGGGAGACTTGTCATTTATCCAGATTTAGAAAGGAATCTCCTCATTCCTCTTTCACGTGGGTATCATGCACCCTTAAGCACTGAAAGGACCTGATGTCTGACCACAAGACCAGACTAACAGAAAGCATCAAGGACACAGGAACCACAGGAATCCAAAGCAGAGTTTTCCAGTAAGACCCTGTGCCCTTTGAAAACTGTATTCTGAACACAGTTTTCCTTGACCATGTAATCTACGCACCTATTCTTACCAAAGCTAGTAAGTCCTATCGCTGGTAACCACGCTGAATAGGGTTAAGAGGTCAAGGCTCTTGGGGATTCAAATGTTCCTTGGTTACTATTCAGATACTTAGTCACTCTCAGAATCAGTAAATGCTCTGGCTCCTCAACTGAATCTTTTATTTGCAATTTAAGCATCTGTTTGTATAGCCCAACCTCAAAGGAGATGGAAATGAAATAGTTATTAGGAAAGCCTACCTTATTACGTTTTTTTTCCCTCCCTTTGAGGTAGGAGACCACCCCCCCACCAAAATGGGCTTTTCAAAATAATTTCCTTTTTCTACACTTCTATCACCTTTGTGATTGATAAGAGACTAGTACAGAGGTACACAGGATTATATAATAAAAACAATCTTGGTATTAACCTGAAATATTAAATAGCAATGATTTTTAAAAGTGTAACATAAGAAACAAACTTGTCAGAGTTATAATTTTTTAATATTCCATTACTCAAGGGCAAATGGAGAAATTTTTTAAAAGTGATTAAAATTTTTGAAACTGGCAACCTTTCCAACTATTTTGGAGTACACTCACTTCCAAGGAAACATCTAGAATTCCACTTATGAAAAAATATCTTGGTTTTGTTCCAGAAATTACCATTATTCTCCCACGCACAAAAATAAACGAGAGCTGTAAGTAGGGATTTGTTTTAAAATATAAGGATAAAGTACCTGGTGAGATCTTCAGTCAACTGAGAAGGATCAGGAGGATAAAACTTCACATTAAAGGTGAACAGCCAAGGAAGATCTGTAATTATTAAATATTTAAATATTATTAAATATGGTTATTTACTCACCACTTATTTTGATAAAATTTAAATGTTAATGTTCAAACAGTACACACCAGTCCTACTATGAATCAGTTTGGAGAATTTAATTTTTTAGTATTAAGAAAACTATTTATAAAAACAATGAAAAATAAAAATTATATACATAACCCACTATTAGAGAATAGATTCACTTTTGTTTTCAAAAGATTTATTTGGTCTCTGCCTACTTGTGATCTATCTCTGTCAAATAAATAAATTCTTAAAAAAAAAAAAAAAAAAAAAGATTTATTTGAGAGAGAGTGCAGGGAGGGGCAGAGAGAGAGAGAGAGAGAGAGAGAGAGAAACTCCAGCGGACTGCCCACTGAGCTCAAGGTCCAAAACAGGGCTCAGCGTCAAAACCCTGAGATCATTACCTGAGCTGAAGTCAAGAATAGGATGCTTAACAGACTGCCCCACCCAGGGACCCCAGATACACTTTTTTTTAATAAACATTTACTAATACTTTGAATGTTTTGTACGGTGACATATTACACAAAAATTTTACTGTGACCTCCAAGTAATCATTTTAAGGTTTGTTTTAACCACCGTATATCTACATGCCAAATATTCCTTACTGTTTTTTTTTTAAGTATTTTAAGATTTGCAGATTGTTGGGAGAAGGGAGATAATCATTGATCACTGTAGCTATTTAATAATTGATTAATGGGCAAGCTAAAAAAATGTTCAAAGAAATCCCAAAGAAGGGAAAGACCATTAAAATATCACAATATTTTACAACAGAATTATTCCCAGGTTTCATGGAGCAGGTGTAAGTATATTCATCATATGTAACATATGCTTGGCTGTACTGCGCCGCAACGAATGAAGAGAGCAAACAACCATGTCAGAAATGACTTAGTCTAAGTTAAAACACTGCTGTCTTTACATTAACATTCAATTAATGGTCGATAGGGTGGGGAATATGCATTCTTCACGGTGACTGCCGACTGATAATGAAGCAAAGTCAGCACAGGATCATCAGTTCTTAATGGAGCCTTATTCTCTGTTTTCCAGATTGTACCATGAGCACACGCTTGCCTGGGTAGGACTGCAGGGAGACGTTTCTAATAAACACTTACATTTCAGCACTAATAATGCTAAACTGTGCATTAAATGTGGCCACAAAATTTCCTGGCAATATGTGAATGGTCCATCTAGCTATGGACTATTTATATAGGAATCCCATGCAGGTCCTATTCATGTACATCAGAGGAAGATTTTAAAGAAAATTTTGAACAGGAACTAAGAAGCTGTCAGTTTTTCAAAAGTCAGTGAAAAAAGATGAACGTTTACTTTTGCTATGTGCCTATTAAGTGAAAAGTAACAAAGTATAAGAGCAGCTGGAGGAGCCTAAAACTAAGCAGTTCTTTGGTCCATTTTGACAAGAGCAGAAAGGAAGAGGTAAAGGCAACAGCTAAAACAATCTCCTCAGCCTCCTTTCCCCATAGGAACAGCCCAGGATTCCATTTAGAGAACCAGCTCCAACCATCCGAAAAAGCCAAATGCTATTTGTTACTCTTACTCCTCTTGCCAAACCACAGGGGCAAAAGTCCTGAAATAACTCTAAAAAAACTTCACAAATAATCAAAACACAAGACCATGATTCATAATCAGCAAGAGTCTTACCTCCCCAAAATGAGGACTTTCCAGGACTCTCAAATGAGCAACACAGAAACATACTCAACAAAATGCCAAAACCAGACCATAGGAAACAAGTCAATGGAACATCAATCACATTTCAGAGGTTATCCTGTTCTTGCTATGGTGTGGGTCACTTACTTGGCAGGTCTGGTTTCAGATAAAGCCAAAGAACCAAGCATCCGTACCTTTTTGAATTCATGTACTCTGCAGACATAGAACAACTATACATAAGACAAAGGAAACATTCCAAGGCTCTCCTTTCTTCCATAATGTCAGCATAACGCTTATGTGTCTAACTACTCCTTTTCTTTTCTTCCCCCTTTTCCATGATGAACCAAGCATAAATGGACAAAACACCAAGATAATAAATGCAGGGGGGAAGAGAGAGGGTTGGGAAGGGCTGCTGGAAAGCCCGGAGTAATAACAGGGTGACCGACCATCCCAGTCTGCTCAGGATTGTTGGTGTTTCAGCACTAAAAGTCCTACATCCCGAGAAACCCCCGTCCTGGATGAATTAGGAAAGTCATTCTATTCAACGATACCTTCTTTAAAAAGGAAGAGAAAGAGGAGTCTACAAGGAGAAGAAATGGGAAAATAAGGTTTATGCTCAGAATTTGAAAAGGAAGCAGAGAAGAAACGATAGGCAAACTACCAAAAAGATTAAGGATTTCAGGGAGAAAGAAAAAGAAATGAAGAAAACAGCCATGGAGGCCCTAACATGAGACAGAAGGTGGACGGTAAGGGACAGAAGAAAAGAGTACAGATTCGTTACAGTGTGTTGATGTTGGGAATAATCAATCAGCAGAGCATGAAACCAACAGCGCAAAGTGTGTCGTGCAGGCCGGAACTCAGAGAAATGGTTCCTCCCTGGACAGCTCTGGGGCCCACAGTCTAGAAGGGCTGGTGAGAACGGAGTTCTCCTTTCTAGAAATTTCAGCTCTTCATGGCTCCCTACCTTTTCTATTTGGTCATTCACCCACCCTGAAGTAAACTGAGTATCCGGATCCCTAGCAGAGAGTTTCCTGGAGCAATGACGTTTCCTGGCACAGATATCCTAAGACCGGCCATGGGCAAGGCCACGTGCAGAGGCAGACCCACTGAAGGAGCTGTGGCTGGTGAGGGGACACAGCTCAAGTCACTTCGGAAGTCTACCATGAGAGCAAAGGGGAAATGCAACAGGACGGACTAGAAACCCAGATGCAAAGAGCATGCAGAGTGGTCCTGGACAGTGGAACAAAGAGTAGAGAAGACAATTGTCACAGAGGACTGAAGAGATAGTGTGCCCAGGCTTTCCTGCCCTGGAGTCTGTGCTCCAGCACATCGAGGAGCCATGTGACTAAACCTCTGGGGCCAGAGACAAGACTATTAATTAAACCAATTACACACTTCCAAAACAAAGTAGACAAAGCCATCATAATTCGTTGCCTAGAGTAGAATTTACATCAACAGTGAAAGTTACACAAAGCAGCTCCTCATTCTTTTCCCAAAAGAAAGGTCAGATATTACTTCAGAGTGGTAGACATTATGAGGGAATATTTAGGACTAGGAGTCTAGAACCTCCTGACCAAAACAGTCGTTAAGCCATGTATCAAATAAAGTCATGATTCTACAAAAATACTGTTAGTATCCTTAGCTTCCTTTATGATATAAATGCACAAATCACTAGTATTCCAGTCAACATTCCTATGAACTTCATTAAAGATAGAAATAGATGTAAAGATGAAGTAAGAAGTAAGATTATTTAAATACTCACTTCGCAGTTGTCTCTTTATTTCTTTTGCAGGATCTAGCCAATTCTACAGGAGGAGGGAGGGAAAAAGGTTAATTAAGCCATAAAACATATTTCAGAGTCCAAAAATGGAACAGTTTACAGTTCACATACTTAAGTGTAAACATAAATTCTTATTCTAAGCAGCTTTCACCAATTAGCATTCCACTGAGCTAAGTATTGATTTGTTTTTGAGTGTGTGTGTGTGTGTGTGTGTGTGTGTGTGTGTGTGTGTGTTATAGATAAAACACTAAAACACTTTTAAGGTGGGTCTCTTGGGCCTCATTTTCTTGGATCTGAAAGCAAACGTCTATCCAAATGATGAGACACAATATACCTACGTGTAGTCCTTATTCTGTAACAGAACTGCCAACAGTCAGTCCCAGTGGGCACTGAAAAGAGAGCTGAGGCAAGGACAATAATTGGCTCTTCAAAGTATATACACCCCAATCCGACACAATTATCTCAACTACTGAAAACTATACTTTCTTTTTCCCTGCAACTATACAATGCTTTGGAGAAATACTGTCAGGCTAGAGCTGGTCGTGTCCTTCCTGTTCTTCATGTAACATCCTTTTTAAACTTCACACCAAGTGGGAAGTCAAATCATAAGGCACTCCCTTTCACTTCACCCTTTCTATCCTTTGAGAAAGGTTCTACGAAACCACTATATCTTAAAAAAAAATTTTTTTTTGGACTACGTGGTTTCAAACCACCTAAGGACATTAAACATTTATCTCTCCAAGTTAACAGCAAAAGACCCAACCAAAAAAATTATTTATATTTCATTTTTTGTCTATATGTTATTTATTTCCCCTGCCCTCCTCAAGTCAAATCTCTCAAAGTTCACCTTACTTTATGTTCATTAACTCAGAACAAATATATTTTTTAAGATACAATATACCAACTGAAATAGTTAAGGTCCAGACAATGTGGAGGTTAGGGGTGCTGACCCCCCCACACAGTCAAAACTCCACATATAACTTTTTTGACTCCTCCAAAGCTTAACTACTATAGCTTCCCGTTAATCAGAAGGCTTACCAAAAACATAAGTCAATTAATGCATATTTTATATATGTTATACACTGTATTCTTATAATAAAGAGAAGAGGAAATGTTAAGAAAACCATGAGCAATTACAGAACTGTCCTGTATTTATTGAAAGAATCTGTGCATAAATGGACCCACACCACTCAAATACTCACTTCACAGTTGTCTCTTTATTAATGACCCCATGGTATTCAAGGGTCAACTATAATTGGCTTTACAATAAATAAGTTTCATTTATTCTAAAAGCACCCCAAATAACGTAACATCTGTGCTTAAACAGAATTTTCTTCAGCTATATAAAGCAAATAATTAAGATGTTTGTCATTAGGCAGAAAATAACAGCCTACTGTCTTAACAATCCTATTGAACTGGAACAACAGAACATTAACTCCCATTATTAAAAAGTGGTAAGAGGCGGCTTTGAAAACAAAGTGGGTTTTACTACACTGCTCACGGCTTGCGCTCAGGACAGCAAGGACCCAAGGTGTGCATGCTCTGTTTTAAAACTGGTGATATCCAAACGTCTCAATAAAGAACTACCAGAGCTTGGCTGAGTTTCATATTACTGGTGTCCCAGCTGCACGGCCCATCGACGCGGAGGGTCAGTGGGACACTCCCATGGTACCTCCAGTGCTAAGTTGGGGAGCAGCTCGAATTCTCCCCTTAGGAAAGAGCCTGGCATTCAGTTTCCTTACTCTGCAGCTGCTGTCTCCCCAGAACAGCTGGCCCACAAATGGCCGGGTGTGAGGAGGGTACACAGGAAAGAGAAAAACACACCATTCAGTCTCTAGCCCAGACGGGGAGAAGCTGGGGAAGAGGCGAAGGAGGGTCCGATGTGTTATGGCCTTTCATCCAAGGAAGCAACAACCACAGTAAGGAAACTGAATCAGCGACAACGGCTCGTCAACTGAAAAGGAGGGGGGACCCTCAAAACATGAACACAGAGAGAGCATGAAGGGAAACGACTTCCCTGATCTCCCAACAACTCAGACAGACCCTTCCAGGTCTCACTCTGTGACAGGTGCTACAGATGCCTGCCGCAGAAGGCGGAGGACAATGGCGGGAGCAGCGTCATCTTCTGGGACCCCAAGGTATAGTCCTGTGTCCCCGTCACTTGGCACCTTTCATTCTCACCTGCAGCCCCAATCCCTTGTACAAAGTCCCTGCAGGGTTTCTGCACAGCATGGAGAGTGTGAAAGAACTCTACAGACCCGGGAGGATGAGTGAGAAGTTTCCTCGCACCAGCCAGCCAAATTCAGACGTGGTGTCATTCTCTTGGCCCCTTTCCACAGTACGGCCAGCCAGAATACTGGAAGACTGAAGTGGCTTCTCTCCCTTTCTTCAGACCCCGACCCACACACGAAGTGGGCTGAGTTTACTGATGTGACCCAACAGTGGCAGCAGAAGGGACTCTGGCCACATGCCGACTGGTTTTCCCTTTGCTGAGCACGCTCACTTCCCCAACACTCCCCGCGGAGTCAGGAGGTCTCCCCCACCCTCGCACAACTCCGCAGGGGTGATCAGAGACCCCATTACCTGTATCCTCCACAGCACTCAGCAGCTTTAGGCAATCATTAAGTACTAAATCAATAGCTGTTGACTGATATCTGCCCACTGCCATGCTCTGGTTCTCTTAAAAGACCAAAGTTATAGTACTTTTATTACAGTAGCTATTATTTGAATAATTAGCTCCGGTGAATACCAAGATCCTGAGTGGGATAGAATTTTATCATCTAGGATCATAAACTCATACGTCAAAAGGCAAAAAAAGACAATGTGACTTTTAAAAGAAATAGAAATCTATTATCTGCATTATCAATTATAAATTAATAGCATATGTATAACATACAAGTATATAACAAATAAATATTTAACAAGTAAAAATAAATTTCTTGATTTTGACACTTGAAGAGCGCTAGATGGATCAAGAAGCAAACACAGAAGGAGGGAAAAAGGCATCCGAGAAGGACATTAATGCATGTGGGTATATGCGTGTGCATATAGGGACACACACATGGAAACACACACACACACACACACACACACACACACCATGAGAGATTATGGTGCAAAATTCCAATTCTTTTAAAAATTTGGCCACTACATTTACAGACTTTGGCATGAGAGCTACATGGAGTCCAATTCTGGCTTTCACCAACTCTGTGACCTTGGGCTCATTCTTTGGCTTCCTTAAGCCTCAGTTTGCTCAGTTCTAGGTGAGGATCACAATATGTACCTCACAGGCTAGTTCTTTTCAACATTCCTTCAAATGCCTCCTGAAAAGTAAGTACAAATGCAAAATACTTTACCCAGTGCCTTTAACAGATGGGCTTTTTTGCAATGATAAACTGGCCTATCACCTTTGGATATATATCCTTTCTTCACACAACTTTTTATTCCCAAAGCTGATATGCTAAAGAAGTTCTATATTAAAGAAATTAATATTTATACGAGTATTTTTACCCACAAAAAATAATAAGTCAGACACACTATCTTCATGGGCCAGATGAAATAAAAATCAGACCCCTTTTCTTTGTAGAAAACGGTCTGGATAATGTCAGCCCTTTAAGCTGTCGGACTATAGGGAAGAACATTCCTGGAAACAAAGGCAACACAATAAACAGAACAATCCCTTCTCATGAAAATAATTACCACTATCACTAGTCCATATGTTTCTATGCACCTGTTTAAGTATTATCTAGCTAAGCTCTACTAAGTTTTGTCTGATAAGAATCCAAGAGGCAAATATGTTAAAAAGACAGTTTTCCCCATGGCCCACCTGAAACGCTCTCCAGGGAAAGGGCCTGAGAATCTCTATTTTAAGTGACAGTTTCAGGCAATTCATAATCGGGCCAGATGGGGGGGATTTTTCTCAGTGTTTCCCAAACCTTAAGGTACAAGCAACAAGGCAAAAGTTTTTAAGAAAGAGCTAAAATCCACACCAGATTTCAATAAAATTTATCTTGGCTTCTTAGAAATAAAGTATTTTGGCAGCTACACTTAAGGGCAGAGACAGTAATTCACTCCATTTGGTATCCTTCTCCTCACCTTCCCCCTTTTTACTACCACTCTGTACCCAACGTATGAACTCAACCCATATTTGTTTTCCAAATGAACATCAGGTAAACCAAGGAATAAATAAAAACTACAAGGAATCCTATCATAGGCTTCAAACAGAAGTAAACCAAAATTAAAATGGGGTCCTAGAATCCACAGTTATTGAATCATCTAAGAACATGAAACTGGAAGACTATGAATCAGTTGGGGAAACAAAATGATACATCCTTACTTTCACTAACCTCTAAGAAATTTAGCATTTTACCATCAATTATTATGAATGCAGGAGAAAAAACCTGGTTAATTTTAGCAATACTCTTAGCTGTCCCACTACAGTTGCTGCAGATCTTGAAATCTCTCTTAAGCTAATCGATATTTTGAAATGACTGTAGGGATTAGATGCTGGTGACTATCCCAAATTTAATGAGTATTTGGGGAATGTAATTTATTGGCTTCCTTTATAGGCCTTTGTACCTTTATTATACAGTTAAAACACTGTTCTGAGAAGCACCCCATAGAACTCACTAAACTGCCAAGGGAATAAATGACACACAAAAAAAGTTAAAAACCAAACAAAAACCTGCCTTACAAGTTTGCAGAAATCTAAGGACCAAACAAGTATCTATACACATATTTCTTTTGGGATTGAAGTGCTTCTGTCAGTTAGAGAGGCTCTGCTCCCCTATTCCTGATCACTACAAATTTGAAGGTAAAACAGTCGTGGTTAGCCAAGTCTCCTCTACATTTCTAATATCCATTACCAGAAAAAAGGGTTAAATAAAGGTGATTTTCAATTATCCTCTAACATCAACAACATCTACAAAAAGATAAACCCTTGATTATGAATTGTTACATATAGATTCATAAGACACTGGTGTTAGGAAAAACCTGAGAGATAACTTGGTCTAAACGTCCACACAT